GAAGACACCAATTGGCAGGTCGTGGGGCTCGACGTGCTCGACGTGTTCCGCGAATGGCGACCGAAAAGTATGCGTCATAGCAACGCCAGCGTTCGCCGCCACCGTCGCCGTTCACCAGTGCGCTCGCTTTGTAACCACCAGTCACAACCACCGAGCGGAAAAGCGAAGGCGAAGGCGGCCGAGAACAGCCGAAAGCGACTCACGAAGGGCCTCCGCTTCCGTCTGCGCATGTGCGCCTGCGCGGCGCGAAATCGGGGACACGCGTATCGAGAGGAAAGGTAAACGCGTCATTGTGGCACGCCGTCCGCCAGGAACGAATTCAGAAAGCGTGCTCGTCTGGAATTCTTGATTTCTGCTGTGTAACGACGTCAGGCTTTTCTTTCCTCTCGTTTCCTTAAGCTGAGTCATCGAACTGCGGCCTTACTCTCGAAAAATATAGCATACGATATTTCCATAAAGAGCTATAGTTCATGTAACGTATGCTATAGCTTTTCATTGAAATATTGGATGCGATATTTTTCAAGAATATAGCCCCTGGTTATTCACCGCGATTACTCTATGATGTCAAAAACAAGGAAACGCATGCCCAAAATTCTTACAAAACATTTCGAAGTAAAAAGATACATTCAAAAGATAATATTTGCAAACGATTAACCATATCTCTAAAATACTTCGGTTTGTACTAATCTTGCAAACGATTAACTACATCTTTAAAATATTTCAGTTTGTACAATTAACCACATCTCTAAAACACCTCGGTTTGTACTAATCATCAACAAATATTCGTGAAATTAACGTGACAAAATAATAAGAAAACGAAGAAATGAAAAAAAAGTTTCATGTCATGTTAATTTTACGGTTATTTATCGATTGTTGGAGTAAAAATAAATGTCTGGGATATTTTAAATGATTGCAAGTATTATTTTTTGAATGTGCCTTTCTATTTCGATATATTTTGTAGGAATGTTGAGCATGCATTTCCTCGTTTTGACGTCACCAATCAAAAGTTTCGCGGCGAGTAACCAGGAACTTTAACTCGACTGTCCGATGAATAACTGACGGCATAGCCGATATTATTTCCAACAATTTTTATAATTTACATAATTATATAATATTTAATTTATATAATTTTTAATATAATTTGTCGTTCAACAATAAGCGAATAATTCAAAATTTCTGTTTTAATAAAACAGCAAGTAATATTCCACTCGTAACAGTTTTAAATAATCGACTGGACTAATTATTATTTTGTAAGTCTACAGTCTTACTTTGACAGTCTACAGTCCTTATTTATATTTTTATTCGTTTAATTTGTTCTTCTCGAAGCACGTATGATATTTGTTAGAATCATGGAATTCAAGTAGTAAGAAAATGTATATAATAAGAAATATATCCCCGTATATATTTTATTTCTACAAGCATGTTACTTCGTTACGTACACGCGTTTTGTTCCATATGAAATCCATACGAAAGAATGTATTCGGGATATTGTATAGTTTTCGTTTTCGCTATTGCCTTTCTACTTTCAATTTCCCAGAAACCAATCTCTCTGACGAAATACAAATTTCCAAAGAGGTAATAGGTAATTCTGCGCTCGCATTCCGTCTCGTTCTGCATCGCCTTCATACGCGACTGTTTTATATTCGAACGAGCAAACGTCCAAGGCGAACATTTACCGGTTACGATCACCGCTACACGTCCCCACTAAATCCTAAACTGGCCCGTCCACTAACGACGAGGATCCAGTTCTCCCCCCCCCCTTCTCCCCCTCCTCCAGCATCACAGGGCAGGGCTAGACCAGTTCTAGGACTAGGATCGCGGCTACGACGCTTAGAAGTATCTCCTATTATATTAGCGACATTAGCGCTGAGCAACTTGATGCATTTGAAAAACATTATTCGTGCTTATTTCTTACGAATCACGCTATTTTAACGATAAATAAATGAATAAATAAATAAAATCGAGAGTATTTATCTGTTCTACGATAAATAAATGAATAAATAAATAAAGGTAAGAGGATAATATTTTTCTCGTTGGACTTTCACACATATTTCTTTTATTTTAATATCATATACGTATTTCACAATTTTTAATATTTAATATTCTTAAGTTCAATACAACGATTGTAGCTATCATAACAGTTCAGAATTTTACAGTATTTTCGATTTTCTTAACACTGTAAATTTCTTCGCTTGATATAGTATGTAATGCGCTATATGATATGAGAGAAACATTATGCGACACAGACCGTGTCGCTTGAAACGCAGATTAATGAATACACACATGCGACACGTGACAACAATTACGTCTTTAATAAAACGCAAATTTATGATTACTTAAAATTCGTATCAATAGCGGTCGCTTGCAACTTGTATCATGTAAGATATCTCGACTTGAAGAGACTTATAAGCTCGTATTAATAATTATTACTTAAAACTGGTCTCAAGTAAAATATTTGAATTCGGAGTTCAATGAAAGTTTTCAATTAAATCGCGATTACAGATAAATCACATATATCATAATTCAACTATAAAACTTGAATATCTGAATAAGTTGGAGTACTGAATAAAAATTTGAATATCTTACATAAGATAAGTTTCAAGCGACTAATACAGACCTTATAATTGGATGTATAGGTTTTCAGTTGAATCGCCATTACAAACGTGTGTTATATAATATATTCCATTGAGAAACCCAGATCTTTATAAATTCAGACCCGAATGTCTCACATGGAAGTTTCCATGTCAGTCAAAAGTGCGCATCACATTAAAAACAATTATACTAATGTTGTTTCTATTAATCGAAATATTCTTCACGCGAAATATAATATTTTGTTCTGATGATTCGCTTTTTTTCTCGTAATGTATTTTCTCGTATTGTTTTGTTTACGTGATATAAAACGCAGGAAAATTTCCCAGCAAATAATCGCGCAGTACATAGCAGCGTTTTTATCGCGAGTTCTTCCTGATTACAATCATTTGTCCGTCGAGATACGTAACACGTCTGCAGTGTGATCATCGCTTTTTATGTTCGGTTAATTTTAACTGGTATTGTTGTCCGGATAAATGAAATAAATGGCTGACATATGAGACTAGCATATAAATGTGCTTATTCTCGTTTCTGTGAAAGAAGGATAAAATATAAACGTGGACCAAGACTTGTACGTTTAGATTCCTTATAACATGTAAGGCGCAACGCGGTGTGTGCGATTAGTGCTTACATAATAATACTATGTAATATAATTACGCAATCGCAAAAGATGTGATTATACGACTGTCGAAAAGCGACATATGATTGAAGTAAACAGTAGTTACATGAAAAAGGTATAATAATGCTGTAATGGTATTATGCAGACTTCTTATAGTGACGATAATTTGGCATTAGTGACGAGCGTAACAATTTGGAAAAACAACGGCACTGCTCATTCAATGCGTTGCTCTACTACATATGGTGTAAATTTTGTGAACAAAATATAATTATTTATTAGTGCAAATAATTTTTTGTGAAATGTCAAACTGTTGACCTTCTTTTTTCCGTTTTTCTAAACGTAGTATTTAGAAGTATGTACATTGAATCAACGCAACATTAATAAAAATTTACAATAGTTATTTATACGCGTGTTATGACGAATATTTTTCGTGTTTTTCAACATTCTTTATATCCTCTTGACTAGATACAATAAGTCTTGCTGAATTCGTATTGCTTTGTTATTTCTAAAAGCACTCCGACATTGTCGTATTGTTATAATTTTGTCATAAGTTAAAAAATACACGAAACTTGTGAAATTTTGAAAGTGTAATATTATTTATATTAAAATATTAAGCATTAGGAAGCCCTAATTTATTTAATTTATGTAAAAAAGGCATTTAAAATATAAGGCATTAAAAAATATTTAACAAATGGATTATTGTAAAAATTCCCCCCAAAAAACGTGAATACGCTTTGTGAAATTATATAACTGTGATCAAATGATAATTTATATATATATGTGTTTTTGTAACGAATTTTGTATCTGTAATTTATTATGCAAAATATTATGTACTATATGTGATAAAAATATTATTTAAAAATTTTGTTAGCGTCAAATTTTATACATCTTCTCAAAGATATATTAATAATTATAATACCTAAAATTTCATACAAATAGCTTTTTGTCTAAAAATTTTGTCACAATCTTAGACTATATTTTCTATTTGTATATTTTTCTAATGTAAAAAAATGTTCAACTTTTCCACATATAACATGTTCATTATCTTCAAATTACTAATTGAGATAATCATATGATATATACGACTTTTCAACTTTATCAAGAAAAACGCGTAACTACATATCTTTACATCTCTTTAAAATTTTTCATGTCTCATTAAACAATTGATCTTATTAAGTACTGTTTTACAAATATGCGCTATTGGACTTGTTATATCACTTAAAAAAAAAGAATGGTGTAAAAAAAGACAATTGGTTAATGAACAGATTTTTTACTATATTTATTACTATTTTTCAAATTTGTGTGAACATTACGATTAAAGGGAGAAAAAAGAATACACTTTCCTAAAATATAAAAAAAGTTATCAATATATAGGAAAGTAAGATTTATCACAGCAGTCCGAATTAATGATGCGTATAAATGGCTTATTGCTATTAAGTAAAATATTGTAGATACTTTAATTGGGTTGTTATCAATTATTTTCATAAAACTTTATAAACAATAAGAAATTAAAAAGAAGAAATAAAACAAAATAAAAGTATAGTATATGGCAGAAATAAAATACTTTTGAACACGACAAGAACCGGTTATATAGATAATAATATAAAGAATGTAAGAGATACGTGAGTCTAATGTAAAAGGAGGAACACGTGAAACGATACGAATGCTAACTTAATGAACGCTAAACACGTTTGCATGAGATCAAAGGAAATATAACATGTATGACTTTGCACTATGAGAGTAAGATTGGCATAAATATGTCTGACAGAGATGAATACTTTTTAACAGATTTTTGGCAATGCTCTATAATGCCAAGATATAAAGTATATTTTTAATACTGCACCTAACTATTGCTGTATAGAGACATATACCTTCCTGTTCTGAAATTGATCAATCGATTGAAATTGATCAATCGATCTCTACCTAACTAACAATAGCATAAAACTCCAATATAATTCTAATTATAAATATTTTTGCTTTTGTGACAGTGATGTGGGTGTATCTTCTCATATAGATGTACAGGTACTAATAATGCGCATGCACAATGGAAATTTCACATCGTTGCTAAATATACGCGTCAGTTTAGAGAAGAATTCTAAACCGATGCCATATCATACAGTCACCGGTGGCCTGTATTCCTTGTTAACGACATAGAACTTGTGCTTCTTACCGAATAAGCCCCATATCACGGCGACGTTCTCGATGATTATATTGAATGGAATAGTGGATAGCGCGCCGCATATGCATAGCATAAATCGGGCCACGCCGAAACGATAAAGAGAGAATGACTTAACGACTCCGAACACATACATGTAGATATTCACCGCGCCAATAAATGCGCACAGAAAATCAATTGACGGCGGACAATTGATCGGACAGAGTCCGGCTAAAACAATGTTGGAGGTCGAGAGCGGCATCGTCACCCACGAATAACACGAGATGCCCAATAACAATTTGTTTCTCAGTGGAATCGCTTTGGAATGCACAACAAGTAGTATACCTTGTAACCATCTTTTCCTCTGCTGCACGAAGTCCCACAGGGTGAACGGTGATTTCTCCCACATTTCGCCATCCACGAAGTTGAATGTGTACCCCTGCGAGAACGCCTTCATCGCAAAGAAGCAATCTTCCGCAACGGATCCGTCTAATCCGTTATTAAACGAGACTTGTTTTTCCGCTCCCATCTTTATCGTAAAAAAGAAAAAAGATCTGTTAAATTGATGAGCATAAATAAGTTATCGCGTGTTACTCTCTCTCCCAATAATGTATAAAATTAGTGTGATTACAAAATTATTAAATTTATAAAATATTTGATTAAACAATCAATAAATAAATAAGTTTATATTGATAATATAATTAATAAATATGTTAATTAATTAACTGAACATTTACTGAACATGACAACTATATATATTTACAAAATATATGTAGTCATTCAATCAATAATTACCTGTGTGACAACATAAGATCCCTTCATGCTAAAGAATGGCTTATGAAACATGGTGAATTGTAGTCTTAGCTTGCCCATATCGTCTGCTACTCTGAAGCTGTCGGCCAGTGTCGTGATCCAATTAACAACATCCTCGTTAGCGTACGTGATCAATCCTTGACCAAACTGATGTTTGCCGTCGAGTATGAAATTTAATATACCTCGAACGGAATTCTCAGTCATCAGAGTCTCTTCATCAAGATGCACGATCCAGTCATGATCGGCTAATTCGTTCACCGAGCTTTCCAGGCAGTACTGCAGGGCACGAGCCTTAAATAAGGCACCACTACTTGTGCGATAATTCGGAGGAACGACGACTTCCCGCACTCTGCGGTGAGGCGTCAAACCAACGGGTTTGTCGCTCACTACTTCTATTTGGAAGTTCTCGAGACCAGCTTCTATACATTTATTTAAGTTTCTCTTCACATTCGCTTTCACTAACTCCGGATAATCGCCGCGCGTTACTATCCTTATGCAGACAAACGGCGCGAGCAACGGCGAGCCCTTCAAGACTACTTTGTCGGGGAATGCATTATATATCGTTAATCCTATAAAGTTGAATAAAACTTGTGGCAAGGAGAGAAATGTCACTGTACGTAGCAGATATAAAGTGATTGTGCCTAAGAATCCATATCTCAGCCACGGATCAATCTCTTCTTTCTTGTCGGTGTTCCATCGAAGACCACCGGATACAAATTCGAATGCAAGTATGACCGCAAGCAACAGGCAGCAGTGTAAAATGTGTTTTGCTATACTGTTCAACATTATTCCTGAAAATTAGAACATACATTCAATGAATGATCACACTTATAAGCTCAGGCCACAATACAGTTGTTTGCATAAAGTTTGCCACACTTTTGTGGACAACTTTTGGACAAATTTATGAACACATGAATTTTACAAGACTGAACTTTTGTATACAAGTGTGAATATTGAGAGGTCAGAGAAAATGGTCAAATTTTTACATAATATACAAGTCATTTATAATCAGAAATATAAATATTATTGTATTGTATAAACTTACCTAGTAAAAGTGTCACAAACTTTATGCAATCAATTGTACAGTTGATTTTATATAAATATCACTCGTGATACAATCTTAAGTCAAAATTGTGATCTTGATCTAAGATATTAACCTAAGAGTTTAACCTAAATTGTGGCAATTACTCTCGGTGAATGATGCTAGCAACTATTTTTGAACTTTACAGGAAAGATTAATCTGGCCTTCATTTCTGCTATCGCATATGCACACACATATACATATATCTACACACGATATAGCTAATGCGGCGTTGTTACTTGTACGTCACGGTCGACTGAGTTCCCAATAGAAACGCTAACAGTGAGCACCCGGGACAATGTATAAGTAGAACTCGCTTACACAAAGTGACTCAGATTTCTATGTAGATAGCGAACTGATAATCGAGGCGTGACGTGCAAAAAATAACAGGTAGGAGCATCGCGAACGTACACAAGGTCTTCTCGGCGGAATAATGACTTAATATACCGATCGTCACGTCTGAACAGCGTAGCCTGGACGTTTCCGCGATTGAACAAGCGTTACCCCGGTAAATCGCGGTGAGATTTAATAGACTTTTAATGTATAAGAACGATTTCATTATCGTCGATAACGTGACTGGTATTTAGGTGCCTTATCGATATCGCTCCGATAGCAGCGATAACCAAATAATTTATGAACGTTACGAAAACGAATGCCAAGAATCTCTGATAAGTGCACTGGTCGGCCGGTCGATCGATCGTGAGCGAAAATCCCGCGTTCCGAGACGGAGAACACGAATGGAGGTTAGATACACTTCCCTGTCAGCCTGACGCCGCTGTCGCATCGACATTCGGAGCGACGCTCTTTTCGCACTGCGACTTTTTTGTATGAGTATGAAATACCTTCGATCACAGTGACGAATATCTCAGATGTGCGCGAGGCTCGTAGACGCGCTAGATCTGCCCATTGCCTGCGATAACAGTTGGATCGCGCGAATTGGACGCTTTATTGGATCAACGCGCGTAAACACATCTGCATCATTCCGCCCCCGTTCACGAACTGCACTTCAGCATGTACGCACACAAGCACACGTATACATACACACACACACACACGCGTCCGACTGTCCAAATTCGCATGCGTCGATTCGCGCTCCTTGCACCGCTCAAATTCTACGGAGGGACCAATGAGCGGGCAAGCGAGTGAGTGAGTGAGGAAGCAACGTACTCGCAACCTCACTCTACGGTACAGATGATCAAACTGGGCGAATCATCGAGGGGAAGATGAAAATTGCCAGATAGTACAGAAAGTGCAGTTAGCAAGCAGATGTCTCTGGATGATTTCCGGTTCCGCAACATGAATGTGCCAATTGGATTTTATCTATTTGCGCCATCTATGAGCATGACTATTAGTCATTTCCCAGGCTAAAGGTCGTTTATTGAATATGGGTTGCTGATTCCCTAACAAAACTCGAAGCCTTGCGTATTGAGCCTCCGGAAATGACTCTCGACTTTGCAGATAATATTATTGATAGTCTACAAAAAATTTGTGCAGAACACTTATCGTTTGAGCTTGAAAAGGAATTTAAGTCTAAAGGCTTAAAATATCGTAATCATTTGGAACAATTATCCTTGGTTTAAGAAAATCTTAGAAGGAACATCTTAGTAAAAGAGATATTTTCTTAATGTCCAGAATTAAATCCTACTATATGAATACTGGTGAACACCTAATGGAGAAAACTATCATCGAGGATCCTTCCTGTCATTGTGGAACGAGTCCAGGAATTTGGATCATATTTTATTTAACTGTCAATTGACGCAAGAACATTCTGATAAACTGTTAACGAATCTTTTTAAAATCAATCTCTTGAGTAGTAATATTCATGAAGAAGCATTTAAACACAATATCAAATACTTCATCGAAATATTTAAATTTCTCAAGAATATAGGACAAACCATTTAAATACTAGCAAGTATCGGGCAGATGGCGTTGGGGACATCCCAATTTACCCTCGGAGCCATATATCGGCCGGTATTCATAGTCAGATCTTATATTTAAGATCAAATTAAGTACTGTCTCAAGATGTCATGAACCAATCACAGAGCCGTATTTGCATCTTAAGACATTACTTAAGACGATCTTGAAATAAGATTCGACTATGAATACCGGCCATTGAGTCCCGAGCCACAATAGGTGTAGTAAGCTTTAAGCCTTAAGAAATTGACCAATCACAGTCGATTATTCTCCTCAAATTTGACTGTGATTGGTCAATTTCTTAAGGCTTAAAGCTTACTACATCTATGGGTACGTTCAGATTCCCTACCCGGGTGCACTCTAATACTAGAAGTGCTATAGTATATGTAACATATACTATAGCACTTCTAGTATTAGAGTGCACCCTGGTAGGGAATCTGAACGTACCCTATTGTGGATCGGGACTGAAGGAAGGAAGGAAGAAGATTGCGCCTCATACATTTTTTTCTCATGGTCAACTTATGGGTTATGTACGTTGATGCAATGTGTACGAGTATGGTATGAATCGATGTAAAAGGAATAATCGTATAAATTAAGTATTTTAATGCATAATCGATTGAATTTACGTTATATTCGCATCGTTATTGTTTTATTCACAAATCGTTAAACATGGGAAAATTGAATGTCACGATATTGCGGTACTTAACCCACGAAGACTTCCGTGTGTTAACAGCAGTAAGTAATTTGTACTTTGTCTGCAAAAAAATACCATATAACTACCTAAAAAAAAATACCATATAACTACCTGCATTAATTCCTGTGAGTTTAAATATACGCACAATATTATTTTTTGATACAATGTAGCAATATGTTTGTAACTTTGTAACTTGTGATTTTACATTGTAACTTTTACATTTTAGATTGAAATGGGTATGAAGAATCATGAACTCGTACCTGCGTCACTTGCCGCACAAATAGCAAATCTGCGTCATGGTGGAGTTCATAAATTATTAAAAGAGTTATGTAAACATAGATTACTAAGCTATGAGCGAGGAAAACGATGTAAGATTTTGTCTGAAATTTATATGTGACTATAGGTTTATATGGGAACATAACTGATTGATTAATATCACTTGCATTATTTTCAGATGATGGTTATCGTTTAACGAATGCAGGCTATGACTATTTAGCCTTGAAAGTCTTGGCACAGAGAGGTACAGTGTCTTCCTTTGGCAACCAGATTGGCATTGGCAAAGAATCTAACATTTACATTGTTGCCAACGAAGAGGGAACTCCTGTCTGTTTAAAGCTGCACAGACTTGGCAGAACATGTTTCCGAAATATCAAGGGAAAGAGAGACTACCATCAACACAGGCACTCTGCATCCTGGTTGTATTTGTCAAGAATTTCAGCTACCAGAGAGTTTGCATATATGACTGCACTCTTAGATAGAGGTTTTCCTGTGCCAAAATCTATTGATTTTAATAGGCATTGTGTTGTTATGGAGCTGGTTGAAGGTGGACCTCTGTGAGTATATTAATATATATACATATTAAATATAATATCCTATCTATCTGTAATTATGCTGTATAGATTAAAACAGCAGTAGCTAACATTTTTATTTAAATTTTATAAAATATTAAGATATATATTGATTTATTAATTATTATTTATGATTTAATTATTTTTAATTTACATATATTTTCATATTTGATAAAATCTGTGCAAGAGTGTCAAAACTAGATTGAGTTTTATTTGACTACTGAATGTTTTACCCTATATTGTTCTCATTGTATCATGTGTATTTACAGGTGTGGTGTATATGAAGTAGACGATGTGGAAGCATTATATGATGAGCTCATGAATCTGATTGTGAGATTAGGAAATCATGGTGTTATACATGGAGACTTCAATGAATTTAATATAATGATCAAGGATGATGGCAAGCCCATTATTATTGATTTTCCACAGATGATTTCTACTGAACACATTAATGCAGAAGTCTATTTTCAACGGGATGTGAATTGCATTCGTGATTTTTTTAAGAGACGTTTTGGTTATGAAAGTGAATTATACCCGACTTTCCAAGATATAACGTAAGTAATAAGAAAAAAACATTATTAAGGTACTTGTGTCATTATTAAATCAAAATTGTTATATCTTGTACCACAATTCAACAAACTAATATTTCATTCTTTATAGACGTGAGGATTGTATAGATATTGAAGTCCGGGCTAGCGGTTTGACAAAGCAGATGGAGAAAGATCTTTTAATAGAAATGGGTTTTGAGAATGAAGAGGAAGGAGAAGAAGAAACAGGAGAAGAAGAAAAAGGAGGAGAAGGAAGCGACAGTGAAGACGAAATATACGAGGATTGTATTGAAGAGAATTTCGAGGATCTGGAAACTCAAATAAAAAATTTACAGTTGCAAGTTGAAAATGCCATGAAAGAACAATTTGACGTTTCGATAAAAAAGACATTAAATAATGATCACGAACATCCAGAGAAAATATCCGCGACATCGCATTCCGAGAAACAAAACGACATAGAAGGTGAATGTAAACAAAATGAAGCTGCAGCTGTAGAAAATGCAACAACTGACAGCGAACCAGCTTCGTGCAATTTATCCTCTGAAATTGGTCTTCACAATATCCAAGAACAAATCGTCTCGAGTGCGGAGGACGAAGCAGCATCTACTAAAGACTGTTTTGACACGCGAAGCATATGGAGTACCTCGACAACTTCCACGATCGCGCCACATGTGATAAAGAGGAGAATAAAATTAGCGCTGGAAAAACGGGAGAAAAAGAGCCAACCGAGGAAGATACTGGTCAAGGGAGAAGCGAGCGCAGTGACGAGAATACGAAGGGACAATAGAGCTACGATTACAGAATCGACAGGAATATGGGGTTGGGAGTAAACTGACGCGTATGTACCTACCCTGGTCGTTTGTAAATTATTTCATCGTCTATAGTAATATATAAAGTAACGTACATATATACATATATAGTAAAACCATGTACAGTTAAGCAACATTATCTTCAATATGAGTAAAACCATCGCAAAATTGATCTTAAGAACGTTGTCAACGATCTGGGGCTAAACGATATATCTTTGTTAATAATAATTTGATACAAAATATACATTATATCTACGGATATAAACATTTTTTGTTTGCATATTATTTTTTATCACCGTTGCTTGTAATGTATTATCTTCGAGTTATAGGATGACGCAGTTATGAACTATGTTTACAAATCTCTTCTAACTTTACCATTTGCTTTGTTTATTTAGATCCGATAAAAACATAGTCGCGCAGATAACAACTACAAAGAACTTGGAGGAGCGTTCACAACAAGACCAAGTATTTCTGACCTCTTACAAGCTTCCTTCACAAGAACCGAACATCCATTTTCTCATTCGATTACAGATGATTTCCCAACATCTATGATCACTGACTATCATCAAAACTATGCGCAAAACATCTTTTTTAATGTTATATAATTCGAGTTGATTTTCATTGATAATCAATCACGACTCAAAATCAGGCCAATGAAGGCTTCGCGATTCGATGGGAATAATCCTTTGAGCAATTCGAGCACCAGCAAGACAGCTGCACAAAAATCTATCACGTTTAACCGGTACTAACCAGATGTAATTGATTCCGTAATATACGGCGATAAGATTGTCTGTGGCCATGATTCCTGCGGAAAATTCGGAATGCGCGGTTCCTTTCTACAGCATTTCTGTTAAGATTCACGTTGCATTCACGATGAACATTGAAAACGTACATCAAATCTATAAATTATTAATGAACAGTTCCACTTTGAGAGAACGTTGTCTATCGAATATTAATGCGACTATTTGTGTACTTTTAAATACGCGCTAGACGCCGATAATTAAAATAGAATGTAATTAACACAGAATTGAGAAAAAAACATATATATATATAAAATATATATTCTTTTTGTATGTATGTATATATGTATGTATAACATATACGTATATATAGTGCATATATATAGTGCAATCGATTTACTAGTTCCAGTAAAGCGCGTGTTCCGCAATGGAATCACACGACGACGGTGGTGGCCGATGCGGCTAAGAAGGAGTCGTCGACAAATAGGATAGTTCAACGAATCACCATCGAGAAATGCTGGCCGCCGCTGTTAGCGATAACGGTAGTGGTGGTGTTGATGATGGTAATGGTGATGAGGAAAGCGGTCTAGTCTAGAAGAGATAGGAAGTCTTCGTGATAGCGCGCACCGGTGTACTATATATAAACGCGTGTATATACAGCAGCAAGTTCTTTCTCAAGCACGAGTGCTGTGCCGCCAGTGTTTATCAAAATATCCGGAAGCGTGGATCTCGACGGAGAGACGTCGTAGGAAGCAACCACACACGCTGCGCTCCAACCCGAATTTTCCGCAGGAATCATGGCCAAAGACAATCTCACCGCCGTACTTTACGGAATCAACGATTTACGTCTGGTTAGTACGAAAACGTGACGGACTTTTGTACGGCTGCCTTGCTCATGCTCGAATCACTCCGATGATTATTCTCATCGACCCGCGTGCTTTCATTGGCCTGATTTTCGATCGTGATTATTAGCGAGAGAAAAACCGTTAGAGAAGAGTTGTTAGAGCGTATGAATAAACAATTGTTTGGATCGTTAGTTCGATGATAAAAAATTATTACATCTCAAAAAGATTCATCTAAAACCAAAAGGAAAATATTCCAGACGCAATATTATTTCTTTTCATTAAAAGAGGAATACTCTTTTGATAAAAGTTTTTGCTTAAAACATGAGATTACAAGAAATAGGGCAATTAGAGTTCTTTTTTATGTTAGAATATTTTTCCTTTTGATTTTGAAATAATAATAATAAATAAAATAAATAAATAATAAATAATTCTCTTGAGATCATATATAAAAAGATTCCGCTCTAGATTATTTTATATATTTTTTTTATATATTGTTTTATATACTATAAAATAATCTCCAGATATTGTTATTATTTTTATATTTGAATATGAATATTTCAACTTTCAATGTACAATACATACATATTGGTATACATATATTTAATATTTATATTTAGTGTATGTTGAAAGATGAAATATTTAGAGAAATATTCAAAATAATAAGAATGTCTGGAATTAGGTACATATCCGGGCATTGGTACATTTACCTTAAGCGTTTCTCAGCACATACCATAGTATTATAAAAAATTAATGTTAACTTTTTTTAGATTTGACTGCATTTATTTTCCGATATTAACTAATGACCCTTGTAATTACATACCTGTCCTTTGAGCTATTGATTCGTTCTCTTATCAACTTTGGTTTGTTTTATAAATTACTTATAAATTACTTATAAATTACTTATAAATTACTTATAAATTACTTATAAATTACGTTAATCTCGGTGTATCGATATATTATTACTAGATTGTTTTCAACCGTTATTATTTATACTTACCGATAATCTGGCCTCATGTTTCCGTATTATTGCGTGAGCAATATGATAATGTTTTTTAGAACTTATATTTTTCCAAAAAATATTCATGTTTTGTAAATCAAAAATTTATTAAAACTCCTGATAAAAATCTCTGATTAAAACCCTTGCGGTCATATTAGATTGATGAAGCGAAGAAAATTATGTCCAAAATTCTTGCGAACTACAGCTAAATAAAAAAATATACATTCTACACAACGTGTAGAATAGATTGCAAGTATCATTTTAATGATATATCTATTCTACACGTTGTGTAGACAATTGACTTATTAGATACTGATAGAATTTGACGAAAAAACCTTAAAATACTGATGAAATTTGACGGGAAGTTAATGCAACAGCATATAGAATTACGCTCGCAAAAATTTATTCTTAAAAAGAGAGAAAAGAAAACTGCTACTTTCGTATTTTTGTTTTGATCTTGCGTAACGTGGAATACCAGTATAAGATAAATGAGTCGGACCACAGCGTTATCCAGATTTTTTAACATTTACATTACATGTTGTTGTCATCATATATCGATCGCGATAACCCTGACTCCTCGAACTCGCAGTTATACACACGAGACCGCAGCCGGTTTGCAAATCGATTGCACCTTACGTACATCTGCTTTAACGAATTAATATCTAAGCTTTCATTGTTCGAACACATCCACGTTAACCGACAATTTCTTTTTCATCGTTTTTTTGAATTTGTCGTATAAAGTTTTCGGTGTCGTAAAGTTTCTCTCCTGTAAATAAATCTTTTATATTATTTTTATATTTTTTCCAGGAGAACACGCCCATCGAGGAACCACAGGATGATGGTGAGGAAAACTCTTTATCAACATTTGCTAATAATTATTATTATTAGCGATTAGCATCGTGTTATTACGAAATGTTCAATAGAGAGTATCAGCGATAGTATTTTAATTAGCAGTGTTCACTAATAACTTTATTGACGGTTATGCTATTGACAGTAATCTTATTTTTACTGGAAAGGAAAATCGCGCAAGAAGATCTTTGTAATCATTTAAAATGCGAGGAAAAGGCACTTTGTTCCAATATTGCATAACACAATTGGTATGAATCAATTTACGTTGAGTGCTATTAACATGCACAATGACGCTAGGTCAGAGAGATGTGCAACATGTGTGTTTCACATGTATGCGTGGCGTGACAAATTACGGGGATAAATTTTTATTTAAAACACGTTGCAATTTTTCGCGTCCTTTCGTTCTCTCTGCAACGACTCGAAAAGCTACGCTAATTCGATTTATCATCGCTTCGCGATAATAAGGAGATGTACACTAAATTATGGAGAGAATAGACAAACAATAGAAAAGCTATGTGTATATATTTATGATAAGATTACTGAAAAAGATCCTCTATGCGCGAAGATAAAAGTTGAGCTTATTAAGATAGCCAGACGTAATAAAGATATGCCATTAAAGTAATTAACTAGTAAACAAAGAATATTAAATCAACATCTTGAAATATTGATTTTGCATGTGTCTCTTGAACATTTTTGTTTAATATTTTAGAAACATTTAAAAAATATCGGATAATACGATCCTTTTGAATATTGCAAGTGTTTTAGAAATATCAAAATGTCGAAGTTATTCGTAATATAATGTTGATACAACGTTAAAAACTATATATTAGAAAATGTTATATGTTACTAAATGTCGTTGCAATAACATTCTATTAATGATTTTTTGCTCACTAGGTATTGCTATTATTACTATGATAAGGATAATAGTGATATAAGGTAAACGTTGGATATATTATTTTTTTGCAGAGGTACTTCTGGAAATGGCATGCGTAGGAATTTGCGGATCAGATGTTCATTACCTCGTCAACGGCAGAATCGGTGACTTCGTGGTGCGCAAACCCATGATCATCGGACACGAATCTGCCGGTGCCGTCGCCAAACTTGGGAAAAATGTCAAGAACTTGAAAGTACGTGCACTGATCGTGTTATTTGCATACACGCCCATTTATATTATAGAATCGGCACAGCCAATAACGAAGAATTTATCTATGCTATTCTCGTTTGAGATAAATATCGCATTCTTGGCTTTTGCGTAGGTGGGCGATCGCGTCGCCATCGAGCCTGGCGTACCTTGTCGGATATGCAAATTTTGCAAGATAGGACGTTACAACCTGTGCAAGGATATCGTTTTTTGCGCGACACCGCCGGTACACGGCAGCCTAAGACGTTTTTACAAACACGCGGCTGATTTCTGCTTCAAGTGAGTTTCCCACTCTCATTCCCACGTGAATGTTGATGCTCCAACACTAATAACTAATTCAGATAGAAACTATTTTTTTAAGTATATATCACAATAAACTTGCAATTAAATTATTTTCTTAAGTATATCGCAGATAATTAATTGATTTATGTGTTCATGATTTTCTGTAACAGATTGCCCGACCATGTAAGCTTTGAGGAAGGCGCGCTCTTAGAGCCATTGTCAGTGGGAGTGCATGCTTGTAAACGAGGATCAGTCGGAATTGGTTGCAAAGTACTAATTTTGGGAGCTGGTCCAATCGGTTTAGTGACATTGCTAGTGGCCAAAGCTATGGGTGCAAGCAAAGTAGTTATTACTGGTACGCATGTAGGAAATTATAAACGTCAAAAAGTCACAAATATTCAAACCAAAGTTTAAGGAAACTTTTATTTTTTGTCATGCAACCAATTGCAACATCAAAATTAAGCATGTTTGCAGTAAGCGCTATCGGTTCCTTATTTGTTACGAATTAAAAGAAAATGCGATATATATAATCGCTAAAAGCAAACCTGCGATGATTACGCTTTTATCATTCTACTGATGAAATATTTACCGTTTGTATGTGATAAAGTTATCAAATGAAAAACATCGTGATTATTGCTATAGCGTCAAGATGTGAGAAATTGCAATGGTGTTGCTATTAATAGCGAGATAAACAGATAAGCCACTTTTCGCTACTTGTGGAATGATATTATACGTTGTCAATGAACGTACAGTTATAATTTATTTGTTAGGTATCGTTGTAACTATTGTTATCCTATTTGTTGCAACTCCTTGCACAAGTTCTGAATTATATCTCGTCGAACTTATGAACGAGATGTAAGCAGACACGATTTATGTTGACAGATATTATAGAGAGTAGATTGAAAATAGCAAAGAAACTCGGCGCCGATGATACGTATCTGGTGCAAAAGGATAGATCGGAGTCTGATACAGTGACCGATATTCACGCGATTTTTGGAGATGAACCTGACAGGACGATAGACGCTTCAGGCGCACAATCTTCAATACGCTTGGCAATCCTCGTATGTTCTGAAAAAGAGATAATATACTATATGCAAGTTTCTCTCAGACATATATGCAAAAATTAGAAATAATATACTTCCGTAATATTCAACATAGAATAAAATTTACTTTTTATATCTTTATCTCAATTTTTTCCTTCAATTTTATAATGCACTTTTACTTTGGATATGTTATAAACTGTATTTGTGTCTGAGCAGGTGACCAAATCTGGTGGAGTCATATTACTAGTGGGCTTGGGTAGTCCTGAGGTGCAAATTCCATTAATTAACGCAACGATAAGGGAAGTTGATATCAGAGGTGTCTTCCGATATGTGAATGAGTAAGAGAACAAGTTTCCTGTTAAATTATTAAATAATCCAAAATAGATAAATAATCCATTAATTTATTATTTTTTCACACATGAGGAAAAATAACTTAAATTTAAAATATTTTCTGCTCTTAGTAACAAAATAATGAATTTGATTACAAAAATATTAAATTATTTTTATTTGCATATGTATTAAATAGAGAAAGAGTAAGAGATTTGACATGACAAAACAATATATATTCAATATAATTTTGTTCCATTTTCAGCTACAGTGATGCATTGGATCTAGTTGCATCTGGCAAGGTAAATGTGAAACCTTTGATCACTCATAACTACAAAATAGAAGATACTTTGAAAGCATTTGAAACTAGCAGGACTGGAGCAGGTGAAGCCATTAAAGTCATGATTCACTGTAAATAAACAAACCAGATTAAAGCTTTGGAGAAATTTATCAAACGCTATTGCGTCCTTCAAGATGAGTGTTATATGGAAAATATTTTAACTTTTGATATGTTGGCATGCTGTTTATTAAAGAGATTATCATGTTAAAATTTATAGATGGTCTATTTTAATCTGCAAGATGTAATCAAAATGGTAAACGATTATATTCGCGCAGAATAAATGACGCGAATAATTCACGTTTTTACGAGATTTGAAGATTTAATAAGTTATTTTAACTGAATTGAACAACTACAGTTATATTTAATCATCGATACACCTAAACCTATATTACATAATAATCCTGACAACATAAAATATCTCAGAATTATTCTCAATGAGTCCAGGATATCCTGGAGTGGCCTAGAGTGTTTGAAGTATATCCAAAATAATTTCAAGATGTTTTATACTACTTAAAAATGCACTTTACGAATTTAAACGCTTTTGACTCGAACATCAAACTGAATCTAATGTCATTCATTTAACTATCTTAATTGGATTTTAAGAGATTAACACTTTTTAGTATTGTTATATGGAAATCCTGTAAGTATATGGTGCTCTCTTGTAGATATGTACAATAACTCGTCAGAGATCTGTACACGCGAAATGAACAATGAGTTCAAAACGACCATCTTCCGAGTTTGTTGACGTTTTTATAAAATACGAACATTGTAATTAAATTTAATAAAAAATAAATCGATATAGTTTTTCGAAGATAGAAACTTATTTCTACACTATTGTATAAGTTAACATATTGTGTTGTTTATTACTTAATAATGACAAGTAGAATATAAGAACATGCTTAGAAATCAAAGGGAAAATAATTTGCGAATTCAAAAGTATGTATCGATGGCTACATTCAGCAGAAAAAGCAGCTCAGCTAATAACCTTCTAGCTCTTACGGAAAAACAATATTGATTGGCTGTCGCGCGGACTTCCGCCGCGCGGCAAGCATTACCGCATCCTGTGTGCAGGAGCCATAAGACGATCTTGAAATAAGAGGCCTGTTCTTTGTAGCTGCACTACTGAACTAGTGCAATAAGTTAGAGTGAGAAAACGTATATTTGTTTCACTTCAATATATTGCACCAGTTCAGCAATGCAACTACAAAGAACAGGCCTAAGATTCGACGGGTGGGACCCGATTGACCACGATACGATTGGACACAGATTGTAATGATTGGTTCGACCTAGTAATTCACTAGATAATTCTTTTCATCGGTTGATTGTGTCCAATCGTACCGTGGTCAATCGGAACGTTCCCAGATTCGACTATGAATACCGGCCTATGATTGATTCATGATATCTGAAGACAGTACTTAAGGCTGCGTTCAGATTCCCCACCCAGGTGTATTCTATTACTAGAAGTGCTATAGTATATGTCACATATATTATAGTGTTTCTAGTAATAGAGTGCACCCGGATGAGGAATCTGAACGCACCCTAAGATGATCTTAAATATAATGGCTGCTTTCCAATGGGTGGGACCCGATTGACCACGATACGATTGGACACAGATTGTAATGATTGGTTCGATCTAGTAATTCACTAGATAATTCTTTTCATCGGTTGTGTCCAATCGTATCGTGGTCAATCGAGACGCTCCCCTTTCCAATTGCTTAACACATTTTGACACATATATACACAGAAATGCACAAAGTGTAACGTTGTGCATGATTCAATTGGAACAAAGTGTGCACTAATGTGTATGTCGGGTAAAGTTAGGATTATTTTTCAACTATGCTTATATTTTGGTATTTTTTAATAATAAATAATAAAATCTAAATAAATAATAAATAAATCTAAATAAATAATAAATAAATCTAAATAAATAATAAAAAAAAAATATTATCTACTTCCCGTCGCAAATACCAGTCTCTTTTCAAGCCGCTACGCTTATTAACTTTAATTTTCACTAGAAAATACTAGTTTACACAGCCGACTAGTAGAGTTTACCAGCCTCGAGCTGGACAGCGATCATGTAACTTTTCCCCTAGGGCGTAAACGTAAAAAGTGAAAAGTTTCACTCGTGATCACGTAACTCGGCGAAACGTGGAAACGTGAAACTTTTCACGTGAACTTGTTAGCCATGAAATGTGCTGGCGGAAAAGTGAAAATCTAGTGACATGATGAATGCGGAATATATTATGCTACTGCTGTGATGAGATACATGAAACATAACAATCCTAAGATTATAGCGATGTTTTTAATGTTAATATGTTCTACAGCCGATGGATATAGCTGATTTAACCGATATTGAAATCATATAGAAACCATGTTTAGTGATTTGTGCTTTTCACGCATAGAGTTACTTGATTGCGTGAACAATGAAAAAGTTCACATGAAATCGATAGAGCGAAAAGTGAAAAGTTCCGCTCTAAGTTACGTGATCGCTGCCCTGAGTACGGATGTACTCAGAAGAGAAGGATAGAAGGAGGAGGGCATACTAGGTGGCGGCGGGACGCCGTGCGTTCGAGATCTGCGTATCTTTTTCGTTCCAGAAAGAGAAAAATATCGAGAGCGCGGAACTCCTGCTAGGCCAGAACTCGAACCCGGGTCTTTCGCTTGCCGGGCGACTGCTCTAAACCACTGAGCTACTTGACGCTCCACGTTCACGACACTCTCCTCTTCCTATGGTGCGTTCGAAAACACTGAAAGTCCACGACGGAAAGTGGCTATGGTGGATGGGCTTGGTGGGGTTAGTGGAGTTGGTATCGAGAGGAGTTTTCAAACAGCCATGAAAGAATGCTCAATGTGACATACTAGGTTACGTTCAGATTCCCTACCCGGGTGCACTCTAATACTAAAAGTGCTATAGTATATGTAACATATACTGGGTGCTTTCCAGTTGCGTACACTGTGTTACACAAAACCAGTTTATTGGTTGCATATTATCTTATAAGATATTTTAGATAATATGTGACCAATAAACTGGTTTTGTGTACGTGTGTGTCAAGATGTGTTAAGTAATTGGAAAGCACCCACTGTTTCTAGTAATAGACATAGTACATATAGTGTTTCTAGTAATAGAGTGCACCCGGGTAGGGAATCTGAACGCACCCCTACATGTGTGTTGTGCCTACATATGTGTTGTACAAAATGGCTGATCGAAAGCGTATTTCGACATTAGCTATAATTGCTTCTCAGCAAAATAATAATAAATTAATAAATTTAGTAATTAATTAATTAATTAATTTAGTAATTATTAATTTATAATTTAGTTATCTGGAAAGTTAATTGGCTATATATTTCTCGGTCCGAGAACTCGGATCGATTTCTAGCATCGTGGGCACTAGGCCTAAGGAAATTTATAAACTTATTTATTACTCCTTACCTTTAACATCGTATATATAGACATTTCCCTTGTCATCTTTTTATATATTTTTTTTAATATCCATGCATAAAATATGATGACCCAGGATTAAATTTTCCATTTTTTTTCACAAATTGTTACTGATTCGTGACTTTTAACGTGCCTCGTATCTCGTAAGAAAATTTCAGAACCTATAAAATACAAAAAGCTTAATAAGCTTTATTTATATTTAAAGACAATATTCTGACAATATACATCACTATAGAAATAAACCTAAACCTGGCTAACCTACACTGCTGTATTTAAATTTTTTATCTTACCGTGATGGCTAATGGTTGTACGAATGTTTCGAAGAACAAAAAACCATAAATAATTTAGTAATTTCATACTGTATTGCACTCTTTGCGCACTCTCCACCATCTCCACCGATTCACACCGCGCAAAAGAGAGTGGAGAAAAGTCACACGAGTGGTCCACGGAGTACGGTTTTTGAACGGCCATGGTCGCATGGTCAGTGTGCCCACTAGGGGTTTTCGAACGATCTGAGTGTGACAAAATACACACGGGTGATGTTTTCGAACGCACCCCTAGATAACGCTCAGAGATGCCGTTCGGAAGCGACATCTCTGGCGCGATCCCAAGCGCACGGCGACTACAGAGAAAAACAATGTTACTGTACCAAATGGTACAGTTGTCAGTCTCTCAAAGTCAAAGGTTGCTATCCTTTAAGACCTGCTGTCTATGTATGCCCGTCTAGTGTTGTGTCGACAATTACGACAATTTGAATGCAACTTGTGTCGCTGTGTGCATGAAAGTGTCTAGGGATATTGCAATTGGAAAGCACCCAATAGCATGTTCGACTGGCTCTGGGTTAATCCACTCTGGGTTATTCAACCTATGTTTATTGGTCGAATAAATACTTATAAGATTTATGATTGGCTAGTAAAGACTTATGACGTCATTAATCGCTCTCGGAGCGATTAACCCAGGGGTACTATTCCGTTCCCGCGTACTGACAGTTGTCGAATCAGTAGGCGTCGTTGCGCAGTTTTTCCACGCTTTAAAAAAGCTGCGCAAAGACGCCTATCGATTCGACAACTGTTGGTAATGGAATATCAGCCCAGGGCCAGTCGAACACGCTATAAGATCGGACTATGAATACTGACCATAGGTAAGTCGATTGCAGCTCTTGGTGCGACAGCCAATCAGAAGCATCAATAGCACCACTGGCTGCGTTCAGAAAACATAGCTGATCAGTGAGCGATCAGTGATTATTGGTCCTTACTGTTAGATCCATAACTTTAGACCAATTACGTTAACTAATTACTCAACCGTTGTGTCTCCTGAACATATCCATTGATGTTTCTAATTGGCTGTCGCAATAAGAATTGCGTCTGATTGCGATCGGCTTGCAACTAATGAACGACCTTTAAGCTCGTATCAGGGTGCTATTTCACGTGTCGTACGACAAGCTTTTCGGATATATTTGGCTTTTCGAATTGGTTGGCGAATAGAGTATTTCTAGGTTCTCTGTTCGTCACCAATGAACGTATCCAAAAAGCTTGTCGTACGACACGTGAAATATCAGCCTCAGACTGTAGAAGAATATTACTTGTTTTTCATGTAATTTTATTCTTTATAATAAGTGCCACTTTTTCTGCATAATATGTGAGATATCGTTCCTCGTTAAATCAACAATCATATAATGAAACAGATATAATAGATATGGTTAAAAAGTTATTTGGTCTGTTCTTTCGCTCTGCACTGCTGCACTGGTGCAATAAGTTAGAGTGAGACAAATATATGTTTGTCTCACTCTAACTTATTGCACCAGTGCAACAGCGCAGAGCAAAAGAACAGACCTCTGGCGTCAGTAAATATTAAATATATCACTGGATACGCGCTACGTTCAACATGTGATTTACGACGATTTGATATTTATTTTCTAACTCCCATTTTAGATTTCTCTATTTTTGAATTTAATATAAATTTCTCTCAACATATAAATCACTTCCTATTACATAAAGTAACGTGTATGAAAGAAATCTTGAAAATTCATTAACCATTGTTAAAAAAGTGTTTCTAGGTTAGTTTTATCAATATAATAATAGTATGTTAGTTATAATTTTTTATAATTATATATATACATATATTTTGCAATATATATATTACTATTTAACTATATATTTATATATATATATATATCCCAGACAGCACAAGATCTCCTCAGAACATCCTGAGGACGAAGAAATGTCCTCAGGACTTTCTTAGGATGTATTCTGGATGTCCCTGGACATCTGTGCTGTTAGGATATATATATGTGTGTGTGTATGTGTGTAACATTAGAGATATGTGTGTATAACACTAGAGATATATTGATAAATATCTCATACAAGAAATATTTCTTCACATAATATATAAATATACAAACTATTAAACTACTTGTCTTTACAAATATTATTCTCTCTTTCTTTAATATATTAATTAATATATGTTTATTATTGATTTCTTGTTTTTCTTTGTAGTTTGTTTTTAACATGATCAAATTATACATTTTTCTTACATAATTCATTTTTAATTTTTTTTAAATTTTCAGTTTTGTGTGTGTTGGTCTGCTTTAAAACAATATGCCAGTGGATCAGATTCAATATTCTGAGAAATACAATGATGATAAATATGAATACAGGTATATTTTGATTATAAATCTAATTTTAAGTTTGATGAAATTCTTACATATAGTATTTTAAGTTGAATGAAATTATTATGTGTAATATACATTTTTTTAACAAGTTATGGAAATTCATTAAATGAGTTATGGAAAGTTATATTTGATATTATCTGTGATTCTATCTATATAGGGAAATAATATCTTTTATAGTAATTGTTACAATTTAAACTTATATAAATACACAAATAAATACAAATTAAAAAAATAAGCAGTAGAATCTTTAAAAATAAATAATAGTTTTTTTCTTAGATATTTAAAATTAATATTCAAAGAAATAGTGTTATATAAACAACTCTCTCTTTCTCTTTTTTCTCTCAAATTTAAAAATATTTTAATAAAAAAAACTAACTTTTTAAAATAAAGTTTATATATAAAGTATGCTATACTCTCTCTTTATATGAAATATAAAAAAAATGGTATGCATATACATAGGCATGTGATACTGCCACATGACATAGCTAGACATGTTCCAAAGACTCATCTCATGACAGAAACTGAGTGGAGAAATTTAGGAGTCCAACAGAGTCCTGGATGGGTTCATTATATGATGCATGGACCAGGTATAGTAGATTGCAGATTGATAAAGAATATTATACAAAATTTATTATTACTCATACATCTATTTTTTTAGAGCCACATGTGTTATTATTCCGTAGGCTGAGGAACGATTTTGAGGCACCTAGGTGTATTTCATCGACAGGAGAAATCACTACTTGTTGTTGAATTAAATTGAAAGTATTGCTATGTGTAAGAGAGAGGGAGAGAGAGATAAAGAGATTATAGATAAGTGTAAATAATATTAAATATATAAAAAATAATATTAATAAGCATAGGACATCATTTTCACTTTTGTCTACAAAATTTATACTTAAAATAAAACTTATAGATGTTTCTAGAGTATAAAATAAAAAGAGCATGAATAATATATTTAGTATACATACATTCAGCTGGCAAAAAATAGACACTTTGTATTGTGACAAGTTTGTACAACTATAGTTGTTATAATTATTAAAGCAGTTACATTTATTATTATTATTATTAAAATAATACAAGGAAAAACAACATTATTATTCTTGATAATTATTCTTTTAATAAAATAAAAATTACTTAATTTTAATTTGGCAAAAATTTCAAGAATATTTTACAAAGACTCTAATTATAAGCTCGACTCATTTTAAAGACTGCAGACATGCACCGACATTCCCCATTGAAACGAGAAATCAATATAGGTCTATCGAAGAAGCACCGTCGAGGACAAATAATGCGATCGAAGCGTGACATCATCGATTTGGCACATTATCCGTGGGTCACGACATATTCCGTGTTTGTAGTTCCAATAATTATCTGTGGCTCGCAGATTATTTCATGTTTTCAGTTCTATTTGGTTCTTCTTAATGTGCGCATTATACTGCGTTCGTCCAACGCGACCTTTCCCCGCGAACTTTAACGAAAACTTTAGTAAAAACTATTCGCGGTATTTGATAGATGCATACGCGAAGTATCCGACGACTAAGTCGGACGATTAAGTGTTAATGTTCTGTTAATACTTGGAAGCGAATTCGTTTCATCCCATATTGGACGTTTGATTAAATAATGAAAAAATATCACTTTGACGATGTACAATAATCGTATACGTAGATGCGAATTGTTCTCTTTAAGCTTCGTGAAACTGATAATAATTTCGAGGAAGTAATATAAAAGAGTCGACCAATATAAGATATAAGATCGCATGCGTCCTCGCTAAATGACACAAATAATCGAGCAAGGACGACGGCGATGATAGGATTGATAGGAAGCATTCACGAAAGCATGCGGACTATTTAGTGGTTTTCCCGTTGGTGATCGTGGGTGAAAGCGCAGCGTGATGGTGGTGGTGGCCGAAGGATAAGAATTGTCGTGTAGTTATCCTGCTTATATCAGCTCCTATTCTGTCGCTTCCTTATTGATTACTTTTTAATGCCGTGGGTAGGGAGACAGAATGAAAAGTATGGACAGAAAAGTTCCGGTCGTAAGTTAAGAATTTAAGACGCTGAGCAACGACGCGATTGGAACGACGACCGTTGTGCCGCGATGTAGCGGCCCATCGAAACGTATATTCGCGATCTTCGGCTGTTTCCCCGAGCTCTCGACCGAACAAGAAAGCACGAATGATTACTACTGATCAAATCGAACACTTCTCCATAATTCCCAGTCATAAGTGACGTCACGTAATCGTAAGTATGTATTCTGTTGCGCTTCCTCGATGAGTCGTAAATTTTAAATCGTACAGATCAATTCCGCGGGCTTTCCGATTTATCTTAAATTAAGATATGAATCTAAAATTATTGAATTATCTCTCATGTTTTGCTTAACGATAGAATTAATTCCTTCGTCTTAATTTTCTTCCGCAATTGGCGTTTTAAAAATCCAATAAAAAGTTACGCGTTGACATTCATTTCGCGCTTTTGTATGAGAGATCATTGCGAGAAAATGAAACACGCAGATACTTCTTTCTCTTATGTGTACTAAAATATTTTTACTATTCTAACAGTTGTCATAAATATACCACAACGATATGGTGTATCATGAAAGGAAAACCGGCGCAACGAGAAAGGCGATCTTCCATTGTTGTACGAAACGCGCTGATGGTAAACGAAGCGACTGTTCATGTGAAGAATGGGAATTACAATAAAGCCATATCATTGTACAATCAAGTAAGTTTTACCATGATACATTTCTATAACGATAGCGAGATATTTGAACGATCGTTTTTCGATATGAACTTATTATTACGAGGTGAAAACATAAGTTACAATATTTAATTATATGTTCATGTGATACTCGAACAAGACGACAATCTAAAATGTTCCTAAAAAGCACCTTTCAGACATGCACATCGTACTGATAAAACAGGATCAAGTTGGAGCGAGGGCGTACGCGCGAAAAAGAAAATGGAAGAAATAATTTTAATAAATTTTAGAGATCTTTAGAAGTCTCTTCGCAACTTAAAAAGGACCTTTGAAATACTACAGTTCGATTTAATGGTGGATGTATAGAACAGAAAATCTTACCTTCGATTATTTTATCGAATAACCGATTATCGCCTAGAAAATTACGAACTGAATACTTCGACTCTTTCGGGGCGCGCTTTCTTCAAATTCAAACTTACTCAATGAACACGAAGGGGATACTCAAGTATCTCATCGGGATCCTTAGTTTACGTTTGAATTGTTATATCTCAAGGCCGAGAGCCTACGCCTACGCGCCTTGTAATGTAAAAATTGTTATACCGCCCGTTCCGGAAGAGTTGAAGTTAAGGTGTAATGCACTATTCAATTATGCATGCATCTTGCGATATTTCGGGAGTAGATATTTACCATATTTCACCTATGTGTTGAGAATCAGACTTGTTATCCGTTTCTAAGGAAACAAACCGCTTAGGTGTCGACAACCACACGTATTTTAGCACATACAGTGAAATACCTGTCGCCTGGAATTCTATTGTAAAAATCCTCCGTTCCTCGCGAGATTCGCGAAAGTGGTGATACATGAAGAGGAGAAGGATTAGTTACCTCGCCAAGTAAATCGGTAAAGTTCTATTTATCGTAAACATAAAGCTATTCTATTCAGTCGAATGCGATATTGATAAAATCAACGGCTGAGAATGAACGAGACATCGCAGGCGAGCGCTAAGGATGAGACGCGTACGAGCGCCGCGATCGAGCATCACGTTATGGATATCTTGAATCCTATGCTACATCATCACGATCTGCTGCAGAGTTATGTGCGAACACCCACGGAGACCGGGTCTGACTCGAAGAAGGATCAGGAGGAGTTCGAAGAGCCGAGCAAGGACACGCATCTGGGTAAATATGCGACCCTCGCCGATAGCGGCGACGGTAACGCTCGCAAGAGTAACGCTCGCAATGTGCACGACAAGAGGAAAAAGAGCAGTGACAAGAAGGAGAAGGACAGACTCGACATCGCTACTATGGAGTCGGAAATGAGGATCCAAAAGACACGGAGAAAGTGACGCCAACAAGTCAACGATTGTCATCGGCAAGAAGAGGTATATACCGACAAGGATCGCGCCGCTGCCGTGAACATGGGTACCACGGACATAAAGCAATCTCTGAAGCTGAAGCAACGCCAGGATCGTAGCAAAAGTTTGCAAATCCCGGAGGAGACCGAGCCCGGCGCGCTGCTGACGCTTGGTTTGCGCGAAATGCGCTTCGGCGATGTTAACGTCGCTATCAATTGCATCAACAAGGTTCACGAGCTCTGATGATTTTTCTAGGCAAATCAGAAAAAGCGACAAGCGCGTACATACGCATAGAATAATATTCGGGACCGATATATTCGTTTAATTAACATATAATGAGAATCGGGTCTTCAGAATTTTCACGGGCTTCAAACGAACGCGCTGTTACATTTAACACAAAACTACTTAGATCATTATTTAAGTGGTAATTGATACGAGAAATTTTAAATCGAAAGAGCTTAAGATTCTTAGGATCCTTAAGATTCTTAGGATTCTTAGAATTCCTTAAGAGCTTAAACTTTCGACTTAAAATTCATGCATTGACCTTCAAACGTTTAATTTATATTTAAATGTAACATCGTATCCGTTTGAAATTGGTGAACACGTTAATGTTACGCGCTAGTGACGTAAGAATTTATTCGACAGGCATTGGACTTGAACCCCAACGACAAGAACGCCTTGATAGCGCGCAGCAAATGTCACCTTTTGTTAGGCGAATCGCAAAAAGCGCTGGACGATGCCGAAGCGGCATTGCGGCTAAATCCTAAGGATTCCAGCAACTCCAAGGCGGTATACTGCAAAGCGGAGGCGCTTTATCATCTGGGCGATTTCGAGATGAGTTTGGTGTATTATTATCGTGGAATGAGAATCCGTCCGGAGTTCGGGCAGTTCCGTCTCGGCGTTCAAAAAGCGAAAGACGCGATACAGAATATATTACGAAAAAATTGATCGATGCACTCTCACCGAAAAGCACCAAGGTAACAAATAGAAAATACAATGCAGTTTAAAAAGTAACAAAGTGATTAAAATTCCGAGATCAAGCTGAACGATACAAAGTTGCTCGAATTCAACTTAGTCTGTTTTTTAGTAGAATTTCACTGAGATAAATTTGGAGAGTACAATACGAATATTCGCACGATGTTTATCCACTTCTTTCCATTAGTTCAGTTTGTCTAGGTAGTTTGTTTACGCGTGATACGTATGCTCCAAAAATCTATCTGGACAAATTCGCGTGTTTACATAATGCACATACACTGGAGAAATCGACCAATCGCGTGCCCGGCGCGCGAAAAATAAAAGAAAAAAAATATATAGCAACAAGATGTAATTTATGTTAGACACATTACTGGTCGATTTTTCCACATATATGCATCATTATGTAGTTATGTAAATCCATTCAAATATACTTCACTCCCAACTGCGCCCGCGCGTGTCATCAATGCAAGTCATATTGCAGTATCGTGATATGGAGGGGACGGAAAACTATCATAGACGAAGGTATACGTATTGGGAGAGAAGCAACGGAGGAGACATCGCATCAAAGTTCTATTGTGGTGTAATTAGAATAACGATGCGTCATCTATCTTGTATATTGTGAATAAATCCATTTGTGTCAATCTTTGTAAAGTTAATGGATTATTTTACTAGGTATGATATTTTAAATATGCTATTATTTTACTGAATATGATATTTTTTAACGATATCTGTTCAATACAATAATACTTAATAATAGAGTATTTGATGCACTTTGTACCTCATTAGCATAAGTATTGGCCAGGTGCTATTGAAAATTATTGATCCTGAATATTTTATTAGATAGATTTCTTTTTAACAATGCGCACATGATATAGCAACAATATTTGCTGTACTTTATGTGTGGTTAGCATAAGCATTGGCTAGATATTTTATCGACAACCATTGATTCTGAATATATAATTTAGAATACTTTATTAGATACGCGATCTTTTTTAACAATACACGCTCACAGTATATCAATATGTGTATACGAGTATGTGTGTGAAGCTGATGTTTCATTCAATAGGAATTCATGAACTACTTAGAATTTTAAATTTCTTTTTAATAGTTCTAAAGTTCCTGATAGCTTAAATAAATAGCTCTACTCATTAAAGCAGAAAACAGGCATCCGAACAAACTAAGACGCCAGGTTCACGCAACGTTTCAATTTGTTTTAAACGAGTTCTGTTACCATATCATGATTATAGATTTTCCAAGATTTACAGTTCTATAAGAATTCTACAAATTTCTACTGTATAAGAGCAAAATAGAAATTAATTATAAATAAAATAAATTAATTACAAAACAAATAAAATAAAATAAAAATTAGTGACAATAATATAATGAATACATTGAAAAATTCTCGCTCATTGGATATCACGCGTCGCGCTGGTGTGTGAGCATTGCCATATTTGAAAAATCCTCGCTTCTGAAACAGCACATGCGTGCAAGCACGGAAGTGTGAACAATAATGGCCGTCGTTCCGGAAATTAAATGTATGTCACAAGAAAAAGTATTAATTTCAGTGTGCAAGTATTTATGATCGGTATTCATAGTCAGGTCTTATATTTAAGGCCGTCTTAAGTTCATCTTCAGATACTCCATAGCTAATGAAATGATACGTACAGCATTTAAAGATGAAGTTTATGAGGCTCAGTGAAGAGTATAACAAGATAAAACTATGTTTTGTTGATATATTTTTTGATTTCTATTTAAATTAGTCCTGTAAAACATGTAAATATTAGTAATTATTAACAGAGTCCAATTAGGTTATGGATTCATCTCTCTCCTTAACGTTACGACAGGCTATGTTTGGTTATATAGTCTATGATCAAAGATAAGTTGTATACTGAGTTCATATGATACGTTGGACCTTGCCTGCAAAGTGGGGATTGAGTTCAAAGTACCATTATATTACGACATTATTTTTTAAATATTTATACAATCGAAAAAATTCGTTACATTCTTCACAAACCTTGTGGTAAAGCACTCGATAGTGATCAACGTGTAAAACTTTTAATACGCTAACATATTTCAAAGTAGAAATAGAAGAATGATTAATACAGGGTATGTATCTTTTATAAATATGCGGTATAATTACATGATTCAGCAAATATTTGTTATAATATTAATCTGCATTTATATATTTTAATATTAATATGGTCCTTTCAATTATTTATAGTGTGTGTATAATTAATTTATATTTTTATAATACATTTAGTTACACATTAATTTTATATTAAAATTTCTTAGTTTAATAATCAAGTTTAATAATTAACAATAAATGTGACCATATAATACTAATTAATTATATTAATATTTGATACAGAAAGCTAGCTGGTCGCACTATTTTTATTACCGGTGCATCTAGAGGGATTGGGAAAAGTATAGCGTTAAAAGCAGCAAAAGATGGTGCAAATATTATTATTGCTGCCAAAACTGCTGAGCAACACCCAAAGCTTCCGGGTACCATTTATACAGCAGCCAGTGAAAGTAATTGATTTGAACAAAGATTTATGGTTTTACTTATTACATAATTTTGTAAATATAAAAAATCTGTAGATATAACTACAAGAAATAATAATTTTTAATATATTAAATGTTGATGGTTAATGCTATACTATTAACATTTTATCTATATGCATATGCATATACAAAACATACTTGGAGTGTCATATAAATGCAACCAATAGAAAATTTAATGAAATTACAAGTATAGTTTTGCAAAGATTATATTCATTCATTATCCAATTGATATCATAGGACATAGTTTGTGTATTGCTATTGCAAGACATTAAGCTATGGTATCTATATAATGGTATACAGATAAAGGTGTGTAATGTTGATAGCAATATGTTAAAAGAATGTATAGAAAGCATTTCTTATGAATTTATTTATTAATTATTTATTTTTATTATTGTTTTTATAGTCCTAACATATTGATTGTTTTATATCATTACATTGACCATGATATTTATTGCATGAAAGGTTAAATCATAGTACATGTTAAGGTTAAATCATAGTACATGTAAAGGTTAAATCATAGTACATGTCAGTATTTTGCATGTATGTAGCAAATATTTTGCAATATGTAGCATATATCACATTATATAATTATGTTTTGGATTTTATTGCTTTAACAGGCATCACAGCCTTCTTGATTTATGGTGTTAGAAGCAAGAAAATGCATAGCCTTGCTCAAAATTCCTGCAAAATACATCAAAAAGATGTATCCAAAAATTGACATTTGCAATTGATTAAACATGTTTTCAAAATACTCTGAACATTTTTTGCTCTAACAATCGATAAATAATCGTAAAATTAACATAATAATATAAGATAATGAGGAAATATAGATTAAAAAAGAAAGTTGCATGTTTTAGAAGTGTACTTAATCTATTGCAAGTGTCATTTTTTTAATATATCTTTATTTTGACATAGTTTGCAGGAATTTTGGGCATGCATTCTTTGTTTCTGATGTCATCAATCAAAAGTTCCACAACGAGGGACCGGGATCCTTAATTATATTATTTTTGACAATGATTTTGTTGCTGTATTCAATTTTATACAACATCAAGCCGAATTACTTACAATTTCACATTCGCACAATAAATGATAAGATCTATGACTAGATCTATTGTTACAAATTTTTCGAACCTAGAAATTTATTGTGAAAAATGTGACATTTCAGTTGAAGCAGCTGGTGGTAAGGCTTTGCCTTGCATCGTAGACGTGCGCGATGAGACACAGGTGCTTAATGCAGTGAAAAGCGCAGTTGAGAAGTTTGGTGGTATAGATATCCTTGTAAACAATGCGAGCGCTATTTCTCTAACAGGTACTGTTGCCACTGATATGAAAAGATATGATTTGATGAATAATATCAACACTAGGGGAACATTTCTTGTGTAAGTTTTTTTAACAATTATACCGTCACAGTTAATGTTTAAGAAATTAATGTTGAGTAATACAACTATGAGTGACAGACTTAAATAGCTTAAATCGCTCATTAAGATGAATGCTCACGAATATATATTTTGCAATTTATGTTACAGATTACAAATAAATAACATTATGTTTTAGATCAAAAGCCTGCATACCATATTTGATGAAAAGCCCAAATCCGCATATAGTCAATATAAGTCCTCCACTGAGCATGAAGCCGTTTTGGTTTAAAAATCACGTTGCATACACAATAGCTAAATATGGAATGTCTATGTGCGTTCTTGGAATGGCAGAAGAACTTAAATCAAACGGAATCGCAGTAAATGCTGTCTGGCCAAAGACAGGTGCGTTGTTTAGAGTTTTTATTAGCCACAGAGAAAAGAAAATTGTATTTTGATTTCAGTTTTGCAATCCGGAATGTATCCAACTATATTCTATAACAAATAATTATTTCTAAAACAGCATATACATTTTAAATAAAATATTGTTTGTAGCTATTCATACCGCTGCAATCGAGATGTTATCAGGTGCAGAGTCGAGTAATTTCAGCCGTAAACCTGAGATCATGGCAGATGCTGTTTATGCATTGCTCTGCAAAGACAGCAAAACCGTTACTGGACAATTTTTAATTGACGAAAATATATTGAGAGACGAGGGTATTGTAGATTTGACAGACTATGCTTGTAATCCAGGTAATATCACTTTTTGTGTTTCTTAATTTAATAAATTTAATTTAATAAATTATTAGCTATGATAACTTTTTTTATGATTAACATTTTTCTTTTTTCAGAAAACAAGGATAATTTAATGCCGGACTTTTTCGTAGAAGAAAATCTGGAGAGTATCCAAGAATATGCATCTGATAAACCGCAAATCGCCAAAAAAACGAGCACTAGTGAAAGTGGAAAAGTAGAACGTATATTTAGTGCTATTAACGCTAATTTGAGTAGTGATTTGGTTAGCAAAACTGGCGCTATATATCAATTCAATGTTAAAGGTAATTTAATCTTGTGTGTCTAAATATATGAACTTTAGCCACTATGACTAAGACTAGTCTTTAATCGTTTATTATTTGAAAATATTATTTGTTTAAGTTTGTTTAAATATAAGTTTATATTAAGCACATATATTTATTTTTTTATTTTTAGGAGATGAAGCTGGCGTATGGTTCATTGATTTAAAAAACGGTCAAGGTGCTACTGGAAAAGGAGAGCCAAGTCAGCCAGCAGATGCTACACTCACAATGGATTCACAGAGTTTCTTTGCCATGTTTACAGGTAAGTGCAAGGAGTTCTTCATGTAACTTCATGTTAGTTTTCATCTTATTTATTTTTACAATTATTTTTATCTATATTTTACAAATTGTTTATATTTTACGCTATTCTTGGACGTTTGTCTGCAGGTAAACTAAAACCTACGGCCGCTTTTATGACAGGTAAGTTGAAAATTAGCGGAAATTTACAGAAAGCAATGAAACTGGAAAAACTAATGACCAGTCTGAAGTCTAAACTATAAAATTAAAATACGTGATGTTTGTTATTACGTATATGTTCTATTATAAATTTTTGTATATTACAACATACAAAAAAGCGATTATAAATATATTTTATATACACAATATGTGCAATATGTCAATTATGAGAGAAAGAAGTACATGATATTTCAGCATTATTTTTTTTTCTAACATGGTATCTATATTTCTTGAGTAAAAAGTATATTACACATTTTGCGAATATTCAGGAGGATTTTTGATCATATCATGATAACGCAAAATGTTTTTTTTACATGTAAGTTAAGGCTGCTTTAATGTATGTATTTGTATGAAGGAATTATTGATTGAAAATTAACATGTTCGCGATCAGGATTCATTTAGGAAATTTTCATCATTTTTTTTGCTTTTTATACAAAAAGAAAACGAGCTTAATTTAATTATGTGAATAGAAAAATTATTATTGTCACACGTATGTGTGATATTGGTTGCAAACATGTTAATAAATTATTTACTAAAAGGAAGTGGTATGGAATTAATGTAAATTATTGTGAACTACTTATTATATCAGTATTAGTGTTTTTGACTGAAATGTTTATATTTAAATTCCACGAATGAATGAAAATATCTTTAATGAATTTTTACACGATATATATAACAAGTTTTTGTAAACAAAGTATAAACTGTATTTTTATAAATTCATTAATATTTAATAAGATATATACATATATATATAAATTTTATAGAAGTATTTTACACTACCTTCTCGTATTACATACTCATAAAGATGCTTTTATTTCAACATTGGAAATATTACCTGCGTGAGTACTTTTGCTTCTTCGTAGACTCCAAAGAATATAAAACCTCCTAATGTAATCCACGTTACTCTTGGTACAAAACCAGCAAACAATCTACAATGCCCCAATGAATAGGAATGCATTAAAAGATTTTTAATTTTAATCATAGGATGTGAGAAGAGTGACTAGAGATATTTACCCACGAAAACCATTTTCTACATATGTCTCATAAAGTACATTCGATATCGTCAATTCTGATAAAAACGATGTTCTACTAGCAAGCATTATCCTCGTTTTTGCGACATCCAATGGAGTTGTAACAGCCGCAGAGATGCCTCCTAAAATTATTTAGGGTGCATATAGATAGACCTAAGATATATCTAGTCATACAAGATATACAAGATTATAATTAATTTAATATTATTTATATTCATATAAGTATTTTTTCAATATATAAAACCTGAAATGGCGCCACAGATTGCACTTTCCATAGGATATATTTTTCTCTCAATATGAGAACTGTAGGATGTTTTCAGATATTCCCATAATGGAAACTGTACAATACTAAAAGGTGCGTCACGCAATACTGTGCTCCAGTATCCACGATACAATAATTTAAGACCAAGGAATTTTTGATCTACTATTTGTGCTTGTTTTCTTTGCTTTAAAACTTCCACTGGGACTCTTATTAAACATGCTACCTTTGTGTACAAAGTAATGTAGTTAATATAATTGAGTCTCCATTTGTTTAAAAAAAAATGCTTCTTGAATTAATTATAGATATTTTGCACTCATTTTTGTTATTATATGAAATATGAAGATGTGTTCCAAATTGTTTGATCCATTACACTGATTTATATGTGATGCAATACATATACCCAACTATATAAAATGGTGCTTTCAGTTTTCTTTAAACTGCTCACATAGATATTAAAATAAAAGTAATATAATTATTATTAAAGAATAGTACCATTTCTGATAGTGTTGCAGCTCCCATGTGAAGTAAAATATGATGCTTTTCAGAAATCCTAGGTCTTGCTACAGTTTTAATTTCTTCATATGTTAAAAAAAATAATGCAGCTAAAATATATAATATATATATATATAAACTTTATAGAACTTTAGATTGCCAGATGTTATACATTATCGATTACCAGTTGGTGCTGAGCCAATTATAACTGGACAAATTCCTTTGTAAAGACCTGTAAATCCTCCAGTCTTAATAAACCCTTGTTTACTCTGCAATCGGGTTTTCAATGTATCTAATGGATATAATGTAATATCTACAAATGTTCCTGCAGCACCTCCTGCCTAGAGGTAAACATTTAAATTATATTAATGTAAAAGTGTATAATTTTATTTTTAACATTTCGTATTAATTATAGCGTATTATTACGTTACTACATAACCATTGTAATACCATTGTTAAAATTAGTATTATTTATACAAAATACATACAGTAAAAAGATATAATTCAGCATTTTACTTACAATAAGTGAAGTAATAAAAACATTCTGTATACTCATTTTCGCCGGTCGTTTTTCATATTCTGTCATGTATGAAAAAAAATATATAGACGTCTTTTAAATAAAAAGTAATAAAAATTACACTTTTATCACAAAAGAAAAGACAAATCTTAGCCTATACATTCTGATAGTGCGTTAGTCAATGTAAACTCTTGATATGAGTTTCAGTTTCAATATTTGGCTGAAAGCACTTTGCTTTAAGTGATTCTACGTCATTGCTCCGAGTAAAAGCTTCCATCTCTCTCTCTCTCTCTCTCAATCTCTCAATATGGCTTCAGGCAACCAAAAGGCGTACCCCCAACACCACTCAATAAAAGCTTCCATCGTATGTGTATTCATGTAAGGTGTGTTCTCATATTAGACGGTACGATTAGTACCAACCAACCGATGCAAAGAATTATCTAGTGAATTACTAGATCGAAATCATTACAATCATTACAATCATTACATCATCATTACAATCTGTGTCCAATTGTACCGTGGTCAATCGGGTCCCACCCATAGACGTAGTATAGGCCATCACACACAAAATTCTGTAAGAACTTAAATCGTAAGGGTAAGGAAATCGACCAATCCCAATCGAGTATTCGGCTCTTTGTAATAATGGAGAGGTTACGAAGAGCCGAGTGCTTGATTAGGATTGGTCGATTTCTTTACGTTTACGTTTTAAGTTCTTACGGAATTTTGTGTGTGATGGCCTATACATGGATTCCGCATACGGCCAGAAAAGTAGAACCAATATGTAGAAAAAGACCATAGACGTTGGTTGCTTTCCAACAAGAGACACAAATCGACACAAACATCATTCTATTTTTGTTCTACATTTAGTGAGTAACAAAGATAGGATGATACCTGTGTCGACTTGTGTCTCTTGTTGGAAAGCAATCATAATATACATAGACTCCGCATACATTCAGAAAAGAGAAGCCAATATGTACAGCCCTTCTGTTCTCTATCTCTTTCTGCACAGACAAAGTGTGCGATAAGATTTAAGTAAGATTTAAGTAAGATTTATTTAATTTAGTCCCGATTCACAATAGATGTAGTAAGCTTTAAGCTTTAAGAAATTGACCAATCACAGTAAAATTTGAGGAAAATAATCGACTGTGATTGGTAAATTTCTTAAGGCTTAAAGCTTACTACACCTATTGTGGCTCGCGACTTACTTGCCTGTCTAGGGGTGCGCTCTATAATATTATGGAAACGAGAAATTCATGCACGCGTGACAAAAAAGTGACAAAATAGGAAGAAAACTATAGCCCCTCTATTCTAGCTCTCTTTCTAGATGTTGGCTTTACTCTACTATACGACAGAACATAGGGCATTCGGAGTCCATGGTTGCTTTCCAACAAGAGACACAAGTCGACACAAGTATCATCCTATCTTTCTTACTCACTAAATGTGGAACAAAGATAGAATGATGTTTGTGTCGACTTGTGCCTCTTGTTGCATATATACTATGTTCATAGTCCCACCTAACTTTAAGCTGTAAGAAATTAACCAATCACAATTTATTATTCCTCTATAATTCCACTGTGATTAGTAAATTTCTTAAGGCTTAGAGTTTACTACACCTATTGTAGATCGGGACTAACATGTTACGGATGTGCTTGTGCGTTGGCTCTTAAGTTTATCTTTAGATGCTTTGTAGCCAATGAAATCATATGTAGACCATCCAAAGATGAACTTAAAGGCCATCTACAATAGCTGTAAGAATATGGCTGTAAAGCTGTAAAGTGAGCTGTCAGTGAATGAAAATAATTAATTTCGAGTCTTACAGCCTTAGGGCTATCGCACACAAATTGACATAACTGCATATGCATAGCATAGGACCGTATGTACCAATGAGCATCGAGTATTAAGTCGCCATATTGGTGTTCGATGCTTAATATTCGATGCTCATTGGTCCATACGATCTTATGCTATGCATATGCAGTTATGTCAATTTGTGTGCGATAGCCCTTATTCTTACAGCTATTGTAGAATGGCTTTAAGACGATTTTAAATATAAGATCCGACTATGAATACCGGCCCTAAGGTTTATAAAGATTGCAACCGCGCTGCGCCATCTGTAACTTTCCCAACTGAATCTTGACGCGGAGGTTCGAAACGTAAGAGCTCCCACGTATTTTCTGCTATTTTGGCTAGCCAAAGGTGAATTTCATGCACGATTTATCATTTAAAGTATCCAAAATAAAACTCATGCGTTTGTGATAATAAAATAATGTCGAACAATCGCCGTGAGCGAATGTCTCGTGACATATTCAAGTCTGCCGAAATATCTTGCGCACTCATCGTATTCTAGTTAGGAGTTTCGTTGCGGAGTTTTACGACTTGTTCAAAGCGAGTTTCGCGTGAGCATTATTACCGAAAACATATTTTGTAGCGATATATTGTAAAAAAAGATTTGAATAATCGCTGGGAGCACAGATATCACGAAACAGCTCGACCGAGTGAAACTGGTACATATTAGCACTTCAAGAATCACAACCGCCATTGTGTCCTTTGCGATTTCAATTCGTTAACAGTGAGTTTCGCGCGCATTCATCGCCGGAAGTGTCGTATGTTTACGCGGCGAAGTGTCGTCAAATAATTGTCGAAAATGGATATCTCTTGCAAAGAGTCGTCGAGTAGCTTCGCTTAAATCGTCGAGCTTCACTTTTTCGAACCATCAAAGAAGAGTTTCGCGCGCGAGATATTCGGGAATGTCGAAAGTAAATTTCGTACGTTGCATGGTGGAGTCAGCAGTTTGGTGAAGAACGCGAGGTTTACCATATAATACAGCTCGAAGGTCAAATCGTAATATGCTAAGCTTTCAACCAGTCGTAAGTTTCCGCACGATTTGTGATTATACAAATGTTTTGATACACACACACACACACACACAGGCTGCATTCTGGAATTCACTGCCGTACTGAAATTCTATAGTATACGTGACATGAACTATAGATTTTCAGTACTGGCAGTGAATTTCGGAATCCAGCCACAATATACACAAGCAAGAATAGTTTTGAAAATGACAAGTTAATGATTTTGATCTCAACAGCTATGGAGCTAAGGTTGGTCAATGGTCCAGGCATACAATACCTAATGACAATCCCAACAATGACACTTAGATATCATGCATTAGAAAAACAAAGGACTTGGGCTATGGGATCTTGGTGCTGAATATAAACAATTTAAAAATCATTGCTGGAAAACTACATGCCACACATCATGGTAATTCAATACTTATAATAATTTTAATACTTTTAATTCATACACACATGCATTCATATGCACGCATACACACATACACACATATACAGATTATGTATATTATTATATAGTTGCTTTTTATTATTCAAATATTGTTTAATTTTTGTGCAGAATAATAAAGATGGTTATGAGTATTTTAACCATGTGGAACTACATTCAAGATTTCAAAACCAAGAATATTGCTATCATTGCTCATAAATCTGGAAAAGATTGTGTAATATAACATGTAAATAAATAGTACATTTTTTTATTGTGACTTAAATATATTTACATATAGTAGTATATTGTAATTTTTGATGATTTGTATTGTTACAGGAGATGATATTCGAGGAACGGTTTAAGGATAGAGTCTTTACGATAGCTTTACTAGATTCCATGCGTGTCATATATTGGAAAGACAAAGTTGAAAAATGTAAGTACAATGTGAAAAAATTTGAACTTTATCTCCATCGATGATGGAGAAGTGAAAGATTTTTCATACATATATATATCTGTGATCAACATATATCAAAACAATTTTAAATTCCTATCATAAAGCTGTAACATGACTTAATAACTAAAAAAAATAACTAAAAAATGTCAATAAATATGATCTTATAGTTTGTTAGGTATATCACAATATATAATAATTCATATAATTCATAATGTTCATATTATATTATTTAACATATAATTATATTTATACAATTATATAGATTACAGATATATATTGTGTAAGAGGAAAATGTCTTTGTATTTTTGGGATTAATGATCTTTTGTGCATAATTTTTCTATTTGCATGCATTTTATATGTCATTGTTAAATTATTGCATCTCCTGCTTTAAGAAAAATTGACTACGATTTATGAAATTGAAACATCAAGGACTATAATGTACATTGTATATATTCATACACAATGTACCTGTGTATTCCTTTTAAAATTATATTTCATAGAAAACTGACAAAACTAAACCAATTAATTTATCATACAATAACGCGTGCAAAGACACAACATTTCCTTTATTACAGTAACGAGATACATTACTGTAATAAAAATGACTAATGTTACTCATATTCTTGAGGTTGCTATCAAAAGTTTCATCCAGGTCTATTCCAAAAAGATATCTCTTAATGTCAAAGTTAATAAAAACTTTTAGACTATGCTAAAAAGCGTAGTGCATTTTATAGAATGTATGAAACTTTTATGCATTGTCCGAATCCGATATCTTGCCCGATAATGGAAGCGTGGAATATTTTATTATTGAGGGTATTTATAAATGTGCATTCTGATATCAGAACCATCGAATATATATCGAATATATAAGTTCATAAATAAATATTATATCTGATCGCGCGGTATTCTTCGCGATGAAACACTTCGACTATCAGTCGGTTATCAGTCGACTTCCACACCGATGTCCACACCGATAGCGTTGAACGTACAAAAGCGCGCCGAGTGGCTTCGTGCACTCGCGCTGAACAGTGAGCTCAGGACGATGGGAATCGTTTTAACCATCTGCAGTATTGTCCATTAACAATAGCACCGCGTGACTTCTTCTATTAGCCTTCTACGTTACCGAGTGCGTACTTCAGACTCAAGTCCCGTCCATTCGATGGGTCTTTGGCCATACCCGTGTTAATTGTCGAGACCTACATTCGTCTTCGCAATCTTAAAACCTCGATAATCAACAAAATTAATTGACTTAAACAAATCAATCATTTGAAACGAGAATATACTTGACGACGAAAGAATTATTGGATGCATTTTACGCAATTTATTAAATATCTCAATTTTCTTTGTCCCATATAAAATACACACGAAAGAAAAGGATACCATGGATCGTTGCAGCAATCAGATATCGTCATAGCTACCACATAATTGGTTGCTTCGTATTTTACTATTGAATCTAGTTGGTATAACCAGATTTATATGTAGGTCAGTCATATTGTTTCTTCTATGTAGGATTCAATTTTTCAAATTTATGGAAATCTACGAAGCGATAGTTGCATTGTGTTTTATTCTGGATAATCGTATGATTTGTTCGCAAGATCTCGTTCTTTATCACATGCATAAAGCTTGATCTGTACACCGATGTAATAAGAAGGACTCAACGAGAGATTGTGTGTGCGCGCGCGCGTTCCCATTTATAGAAGCGGTTAGCTGTGAACTCTTAGCTTTGATAATAGAACAGCGCGACTCCTTTTATTAGCTCCTCGCGTTACTGAGTGGTGCTCGACGATATTTGTCCATCCGGTGGATGAGCGTTAACATATAACTTTCATGCGTTCCATTTGCATGCTTCGCATTCGTGTTCGAGAATCAAAAAGAATCAAAGAGGAAGTTATCGAACAGTCCTTCTTGGTTTTTTCGTTTCATGAATCTGCTTGTCAGTATAAGTCAGATAATGAAATACTTTTCTGGTAAAAGTTTTTGTTTAAAATATGGGACTGCAGAAAATAGCATCTTGCAACTAAAGATTTTTTTTTGACGTATGTATTTGACTTTGTTATGGAATGTAATGAATGTTTCACGAGGTAAGCATTTGTGTTTCAGAAGCATTCTCATTATTTACATACACAGAATCGCGAAAGATCTCTCTCGGATCGTCGTTGCGCGCATTCGTGTTTCAAGGGGTTACGATCAAAATACGCGCGTGCAAAATTGTCCACTGTCGCCGGTGCGACCGCAATAATCTCGCATATTCGCAGATAGAGCGGAGTTAGTGTGCGTGCGTTCGCGTCGGGTGTTACATTATCGGAGACGCGGGATAATTAATTAGAGTGCTGGTGCAAACAGCAGGTTTGGCAGAAGAGAGTAGGAAGGGAAGAAGGAGGAGGAGGAAGAGGAGGACGAGGACGACGACAGACCCATACTCATCCCTGTCGTCTGTCCGGAACTCCGGCGTACCTTGCGCGCTCGCGTTCGCCATGGCGCAAATATAATCGACGGCATTTCCCACGAGAGTACGATGCCGCCGGTTGTGCATACGAACGCTGGTTCGCGCGGGCCACGTCGACGGGCGGACGGTGTTTCTCCTTGTTGGAACCGCAGCTTTCGAGTTTGCCCGCGCATATTTGCACGGCACAGCGCGGCGTGGCGCGGGATAGACGGACGACGATATGTACGTTTAATCGCTTCGATAACCGATCACCCGTATTTGCCTGACGCTGTTCGCTTTCGAGTCTGTCCAATTGAATTGACTTGTGAGTGGATTCCGTTGTTCGTTACCTATTAGTAAGGAGCTCGTAAACCATCATCGCCAGTACAAACGACATACGAGAGGATGTTCCGTTCGACTCTTACGCGTGCTCTTTTATTTCTCTCTTTTTTTTTTTTATTTCGTTTGACGCAGACATTAGTGACGATAGGGAGATAAGTAAAAATTTCGTGACACGATCTATTTTCTCGTTTATTCTTCGATGTCAGTGCAATGCACTGCTTCACGACGCTGTGCGAAAGCCGATCAATGGCTTTCCTTCGTGTAGAAGTTAAAAGTCACGTAGTTTTACCTTGCGGTTTCCTACCACGTGCACGTGCGCCTCACGACATTTTAAGGAGGGCTGCGCTTTGGCAGTGGCGGAAACGGCGTGTTCTCGTATCAGTCTTGCGGTCTGGCAGCTGCGAGTCGCTCGAGCACGGAGGGATCCCCTGCCAGAAACCTTAAAACCAAAAGAAAATACTCGGATCGTCGTTACCTAATATTCTACATGTAAATCTATCCATTGCATGATCATGTATGTGTCATGTTTGGAATGTATTTACCATAATGATAACATAATACAGGAGAGGGCATGTGCTTGGATAAAATTGTGTACTTGCACTTGAAAATAACTGTTTTGTGCAATTTGTAGTTTTCAGTATCTGGGGCTTTTGAGGTACGGCAAAATACTAATTATAATTTGATTTTATTCGTATTTGTATTTCAAATTGCGAGATCACACAGACATCTTAAGATGTATATCTATCACATTGTGAAAAAAATAGTCTTCATATAAAGAGAAATAATTTTTTTAAAAGAAATTATATAGAAAGAAAGCATCTTCTGTGAAAAATAAAAGGTATTATTGTATTAACGTCTTTGTAACTTTATGTTTAAGAGATGACGAAGAAAGAATATTTCTTAAATTCTCATATCTCTTTTTATTTTACGAGCTTTGATAACATGTGATCTTAGAATTTGAATCATCTGTTAATATACATACATTCTATTTAATATACATACATTCTATTCAGTGGACAACTTGATATTTCCAGGACAAAATATCTTTTTTTTCTCGTTTTCGTGACATAATGTACCGTGTGTATTTTATTGGTATTTTATCTGTGAGTTGCTTTATGTGTGAAATTTGTAGTATGAAACTTTAATGTTATAATTGTTGTAATTTCCATTTACAGATTTGCCAAAGCGGATCATATACAAATGTAAATTTATAATTGTAATCAAACCAGCAAGAAGAAAAGACTTCATGTATTTTTTAACTTTTATTCTTTTTTTGCAGTAAAAAAGTATACTGGAGGAAACATCCCCTCCAAAGAGCTTCATACAATGAATTATTTCTCGTTACAGATGATAATGATCGTGAAAAGTTACCATTTCTTTATATCATATCGATGTTTGATTGCATACCAAGTCGATATTTTCTTGTCAGCAAGGTTCCCTGATTTTCCTGATAATATCGATGATAATCCAGTATGCAATAAAAATAAAACGGAAAAGTTATTTAATTTTACCTATATTACAGACAAAGTACTAAGCAATAATGTTACGCTTTAATTAACTTCAAAATGTATACTTTCTTTTTCTCAATGATTCTTAAAATCATTACTTACAATATAATATATTGTTGCTGAGATCATCATTTATTCAAGATTATTATTCGTCATTCATAAAGACATATAAGATATATATTATTAATGACATTATTGTATATTAATAACGCTTAATGACACATTTCGGCAGATTTTCCAAAATCCATGTACAAAATGTGTGCTTTTCGTTTTTTTATTTGATATTCCTCTGAATATTTTGATATTTTACACGCAAAATAGAATATCGTGTCGTACTATCGATTTTTGGTTTGATGCCTATCCTATATAATATTCGTTAATCCAATCTGTGTGTCGCGGGAGCGGTCCGTTTCCAGAGACAAGAAGCAGACCAATACGCGGCGCACCTAATTGCGTTATAGTAATTACGTTATACGCGTTTCAGGCAATAACATCCCACCGAACAATAATACTGTACAGATACCGACGTTATTACGCGCGAAACAATTACTAAATCGTAATGAGCGACGTATTTGCAAAGGTCCATTGTAATTAGCTCCCACGCCTCAGATTGAATTACATAGTTTGAATATCGTGAGCCACGAAGGATGACGATTGTTTATATGCACGCTAATGAATTTTGTACTTGACATTACGATCATACAAATCATGATAATTTAATACAGAATATTATGTAATAAAAACTGTGTTCAATACGAAGTTTTTCAGGTTTTGCTGAATAGACCATGTATGTGTTTTGTACAGATTTTCCCATCTGTCCTAACTATATCTGTTACAGTATTGTGTTAATATTTGTGTCATGTAAACAAAGTTGATAACATTTCTACGAGAGCGAAAATTTTGATTAGTTATATATAAACGCAGAATTTTCGGAGTATATTCATATTTATACATTTCAACTTCGAACATAGTAAAACTCGATGAAATCCGCATTTCTCGATTACGATTCAACGATCGATTACCACTTGATGAAGATATAACACGATTATCGTCACGCCTCGTTTCGTTTGTACGTAATTCTTTTCGCCTTGTCACGGATCGCGGGGACAATAAAAAAAAATAGAGCAGTTGCTCTAATCTGCTGTATTTATATCGCACTAAATTTGGATTACCGCATCTGCGCGCCACGGCATTTTCACCCTCGTGTTCACCAGGGGTTGACCGCTCGTCTAATAATACCGCGACGCGATAAAAAAGCCCCCGGTGGAAGTTAATTGCCGCGGTTTGCCGGTTGTCCTTTTCCTCCTCCTAATGAATGGCATTATGACTTTACGCTCGGTTTAGTTCTTTTTTCTACCTTCTCCTCTTCGTCTTGGATGTGTGTCGTGCAAGGATATATCACTTGATCCTCGTGTAGACCATTAAAAGGGTAATAGGAAACAAGAGAGACATATAACGAATAGTCGGCCTCGTTTCCTTTTAATTGATTTTCTCGGTGCAGCATAAGTCAGGAATTGACTATTCAGAGACGGTAGTTCGAAGTAAAGAATAACATGGCAGTTCGAAATTTTTCGAATATTAGAAATTTTCGTAAGATATACTAGGACGATATAGCTAGAAAAATGTAATTTTATCTTTAGCAGAATCCTTTGAATCTTTAAAGGATTTTATTTTTGACTTAAGAAGATTCTTCTAAAATCAAAAGAAAATATTCTAAGTTAAGGAATTTTATTGTCTTTAAAGTTAGAGGAATTTCGTCTTTTATCAATATAAGTTTTGCTTGTGTCTCTCGTATCGCGCGTAAGAAGGTATTCTGTTTCAAGTAAACATATTCCTCTTGATTTAAAAGAAAAAATATTAAAATAATATCTAGTGGATTCCCAATTAATAGTCCACTTCATTAGAAGAGGTATACTCTTTCGGTAAAATTCTTTTCACTTATAACATAGAATTGCAGAAAATAACAACTAGTGTTCTTTCTTTTTTTTAGATGTGTTCAGTTTCTTATTTAAGATTCAGTCTTATATTGAAGTTCAGTTTTATAGTTAAGATAATCTTAAGTTCATCTTCAGGTACTTTGCAGCGAACCAGCTCTTACAGCATCTGAAGATAAGCTCAAGATGAAACTATGAAACTATCTTAACTATAAGATCAAACTATGCATATTACAAGATAAACTTAAGATGAAACTATGAAACTATCTTAACTATAAGATCAAACCATGCATATTACAAAGCTGTATCGCAAATCGCGTTATAGAAAATCGCATTTTAACTCTTGGAAACAAGCGAAAGAAGATCCCGTTCCTCGAGATCGATTTTCCGACGAGTGTTGATGCAAAGTGCGTTTGTTCCCTCTTAAATAAGCCGCGATTAATCTCGCCGTTATCAGATGCATCGAGCAGCAGAACCGCGGTCTTCTCCCTCGTTCGCGCGGATTTTTGCGTGTGCGGGAACGCACGACAAGGCGATGCGACCCCAATGTCGAATCCGGCGAGGGTGGCGGCGGCGGCGGCGGCGGTTACTACTTCGCGAGTTCGCGTGGGAGGTCATGTTGGATTGGGGGTAGGTGAGGCGACCCACGACCTTCAGCCAATCGTGATTCTTGCTTGGCACTGGTCTGCCAATGGGGATCTGCCTGGCGTAACCCCACGGCATGACCTTATGCGCGATTCTCTTCTTGCACTTTGCGCCGCGAAATCTAACCTTCCTCCCCTCTTTCCCCGCCGACGTTCCCTTATCCCATCGCTCGTCGGCAAAATCACTCGTGTCGGCCGAAACCGTCACCGTCCACTCGTTAACGGACAGCTCGTTCCAGTCAAGTAGTCGAAGACATAGCAATCTCGGGTGAAGAGAATCGCAAATAGAGTATCGTTGCGCGTAATCGATAATGCTGTTTATTATATGCTATCGTGTTTCATCAATAGCCGCCACTCGCAACGCTGATGATTGATAACGCTAATTATGTACGTGGAGTTAAAGCGATTAGATTTGAAGCGATTAGACTTTGCATCGACTGAACGATTGTCTCTGCCACGTTTTACTCTTGAAATAACACGAATACGAATAGATTTTCGATTGTTCCTCGAAATGTTGATATTTTCTCTCCTTCGAGGCTGAATTGTCGAAGGCGAAACCTTTGGAATTTCGCTCGACGTTCTTTCAGTAACGAGGGAGAGCTACCGTAGGTGAACGTTAGCAGCCTGTAATAATACTAACGCGGGGAGATGAAAGGGCCGATTATACAAGACTCGCGATTATTTACGTATTAACGAGCGCGTATTTACTTACACACATCAAAGGATGTTTCGCCACCATCCCATTATCTCATCTCTGTCAAGGTAGAAGCGTCGTTAATTTTGTCCGTTAGGCACCGTAAGAAGGTTGGATTGCACCTACAGAGGTAACTTTGCGTCGCGATGAGTAAAGGTTGCAGCTTAATTTAATACTCGAGGCGGTAACCAACCCATCACATACACACACACAGCATTAGTCTCTATATTCATGAGATTGACGTTGAATTATTTTCACGAAGGCTCATAAGTTAGAAATTTTCCTCTCTTTCTTCTTTTTATTATTACTTCGGTACTAAGTCTCCTCTGTGTCAGTTACAATCTAAGATCGTTTTAAAGTAACAGACTCGACTTTCTCTCAAGTCTCTGTCTTCCTGGTGCCAAGACGTGCACGCGTTTCAAGCCAGCTCGATCGATCCGAGTTTCCTTGTCGCTTACCTTGTCCTCTCTACATCTTACCTTGTCCTCTCTACATCGTCCTATCCTCCGACAGGCGATTTTACAGTCGACAGTCAGTTCGCTGTATGTCTAATCGCGACTAAGGCTCTTTCGGTTTCGATGCGTGTGTAACGCTCCTCAACACACGCGCGACTCCGCCGCATCAGCGGCCGTCAGGACGGGCCGATAGCGTCGGTTATCGAGCGCGGGTGGCAAGGTAATTACTTCCTCGGGGTTGGAGACGTGCGCGCGCGCCCCACGGGGGTGGGGTCAGAGGTCACACAGTCGGCTCCAACCGCCTCCGGACAGCCAATCAACGCTCTACGCTTCCTGTCTTCAGGGCGATACGTGCATGTGGGTATCAACGCGTGCGCGCGTGTGGACGAGACGTGCCGCCGCCAATTGCGGCCGGGGCCGGCTACTCCAGGTGCGGTAATCGCGGCGACATTAGCTAATACGTCGACCTGGAGGACCTGGACTTCCCGCCAGTACGTTACCGACGAGAACTGGCGGTCCCATTGCGACTGCCATTAATATCTCTCCCTTGCGCGGCTAGATACTACGTAGCCGCTTATCGCGATGAGGAGGAGACGCCGCTTATCACGGCACGTTGCTTATCCAAGGTGTCAGCCGCGTGCTCATTCGCCTCGCCGTTTATCACCTGCGAAGTCTTCGATGAGAACTCGATTCGGGGAAAACTCGATGTGACATCGTGGTTCGCGATGTCTTTCGTCTTGCTTCATAAAATTTCTTGTCGGTTATACTTCGAATCAGATTTTTGTCAGGATACATTTTGTTGTAACTTACACAAAAAAGTAGGTCTCGTTAAAAATTTATGATTGAGTAACTATGGTTAGTCGGACGCACTCCTCTTTTCAAGTTTTTCGGGAAGGTCGAATCTTTAGTCTAATCTTTAGTCGAATATTTTCTTCCATATTGTCTCGAGTTGAGACCAAGAGGTACGATAGAGTTGCGATACTAAGTACAAAAAAATGGTCGCAGAAACAACTATTGTGTTTATGTACAGTACACTGTTAAATCCGTAGTGTCAAATTATACTCAATTTGAGTTATTTTTAACCATTCCTATAAGTCGCCACTGCTCCTACTAAATATGTCGTTAATTTAACTAATGTAATGGAGTTAAATAATTTAACTTAAGAAATCTATTAAATATGACTAAAATTTAGTTTATTTTTTATTATGTGCACCTTAATTTTTTATTATGTGTTAATGTAATCTTTGTTTTAGTAAAAAATGACTTAATATTGTTTTAAATGGGTTGATTAGATGTGGTTGCTTTTTAAACACATGTTTTGTGTTAAAATAGTAAATTTTGACACACATGATAGTTAAAAATAACTAAATATTATTTAACTCAAGAAATTGGTTTAAATTTGACCCTCCAATATTTAACAGTGTATATGGACGCCGTAAAGTCGCTCTTCGAAAGTCTAGCGCAATGTTGGTAACAAAAGCCGCTTTGTCGCGCACTGGGATCTGTTCTGCGCATGTACGAGAAGTGACCCTGCTGGTTCAGATTGCGTAGCTCGTAAAATGCCTGGGACATATTTTGGAAGAGCATTTTTCTATTCTCTAAATAACTTTCCTAAAGTGAAAAGAGAGTGTATTAAGGCTCCTAGCCCCTCGCATTGTCTATATCTTTTTAATGACGTCAGAAGCGAGAAAATTCATGTTAAAAATTCTTGCGAAATACGTTAAAATTAAAATATATATCCATAAAATAACACTTGCAATCGATTAAATAAATTTGTAAAATATTACGTGCACTCCCCTTTTGCTTTAACAACCAATAATTTGTTGTAAATTAACGTAAATTAACACAATTCATTGTAAATTAACACACAATTCATCTTCTTAACCTATTTCTTCACCTATTTCTGTTCAGATTAATTTACAATAAATTATTGATTGTTGAGCAGAAGGGGAGTGCACGGAATATCTTACAAATTTGTTCAATCGATTGCAAGTATTATTTTATGGATATATTTTCATTTCAATGTATTTTT